AATTAAGAAAATATTAAAACTGATTGATAAAGAGAAGATTTGATGTCCAAGTTTAAAGCTCGGGGTTTCAATCCCATCGGGCTCTTGGTTTTTCAACAACTATCCAAAACTACATACATAAGAAACTTTGGTACTCCATATTATTATGAATTACTACCTTCGTCTACAAATAAACTTCTCGTTCAATATTAATAAAGTCAAACTTTATTCACTTTGTTGTCTTATTTTCGTCACTCATTTGATAAAATAATATAGTCATGTGACATTTAGTTTTGTAGATCTTTTGTTATAATTTTTTAATATATAATTTTTATTTTTAAATTTTACACTATTTTTCATGTAAAATAATTTAAAATAAATTTAGTTTAATGTTGTAACGCAAAACGAAAAATTTTTTGTGGAGAGAGGGAGTATTATGGATGATAGTGAAAAAGTTGAATTGTTTATAGGAAATGGAGGGATTATTTCATCATTTTCACAGGAGGGGTAGTGTTTTTTTTGTTTGGTGTTGACACCGGCCCACTAATGCAAAAAGGAAGATCGAAAGATGCCAAAAGCTAAAACAGATCTGAGTAGAATCTGACTTCGCACCGCATCTTCGTCGTCGTCTCCATCGTTCCTTTTTGCAGAGGGAAAGAGCCAAGGAAAACTCGTCGTCCATCTGAATCTTCTCTCTCTTTCTCTCTCATCCAATATCTCCGGAGCCTGTGCGTTTTATCCCCGGGATTGGCTTTTCCCGGCGGCCACTAGCATGATAACGGCGTTGTCATCGGCGTTTTCCGAGTGGACGCTCATCTGTATGCTGTTCATCGATGGCGTGTTCGGATATTTGATCACCAAGTTTGCCCGGTATTGTCGGCTGCAAATCCCGTGCTTGTTCTGCTCGAGGCTGGATCGTGTTCTCGGCCGGGAGGAAGGAGCAGGGTTCTACTGGGATTTGATCTGCTCCGACCACAAGTCCAGGATCTCTTCCTTCAACCTCGCGGTTGTGGAAGAGACTCCTCCCAGCGATAGAAACTGCTCTTGCTGTAAGGAGAACAAGTGCGGTTCTGAACAAGGGTTTTCCCAGCAGTTGGTTCCAATTATTGGGTTTGAAGCAGCTGGTGAATTGGAACTTGCTGATGAACCGGACACAGATGATGATTGTGAAGAGGATCATTCCAAACAAGATTTGATTGATTCGTTTATTCATCCAGAGCCTCAAAACATTACCACTGCAGAGGATATTTCATGTGAGCAATTGTTGATCCATCAGAATTCAGTGCCAATTTTGGGTTCAGAAGCACAGCTGGAAGACGACCGAGGTTCCTCTTCTAATCGAGTTTCACCAGAGGATGTTGGCAATGGCTCGGCCGGGATCAGCTCGAGGCAAGCTGAGCATGGTGAACTTATATCCTTTGATGAAGACCTTCCATCGCCATATGCTTCCTCAACTCATGATAATTTTCCCGGGAAGCCTTGTGAGTTCAACTTTCATTTTGTATTTTCCTTTCTGGGAGCCAAACTTTTCCATCTTCATGAATCTATTATCAGATTCTCTGAAATAATTGCCTTTAACAGTCAACATGCACTGCTTTTTGCAAGGATAATGATTCTACAATAAATTACCATATTCCGTGATAAATTTATGGTGCTTTTGATGACATAATTGCCTAATATTGCTTGGTTTCTGACTTCCTGTAAATGAATCAACTTTTTACTATAATGAGCTATTATTCCATAAACAAAAGGTCCGTTTGGATAAAATGGTTTTTTTGGATAAAGGGGTTTGCTTTGGTGGGATTTGTCTGTATTTAGGCATATAGAAGGTTCATAAAAACAAAAAATAATAATAGGTAATTAAAAAGTTATATGATCACGTATCATGTTAACTTTTTTTTATTACAATACAACCTCTTATCTGTGTGTGTGTGTGTAAAGTGGGGTTATTCTTACAACAATTCTCTAAACATTCATATCTTTCAGTTGGAATATTTATTGTGAAACCCACCGCATGATTGAAATTCACTAGTTCATACATCATCATCCTAAAAATATTTCAAGAATCCAAAGTCATTTTGTATGAAATCAAAGAACTCATATTTTAACATGTTTTAAGCCTATGTATTGCATTAAACCTAGTATTTTTCTTTTTTGACAGCTGCTGCAACAATAACAGCAGAGTTGGAGAAGGAAATGCCCCAGACGGCATCAAGCGAATCACAGTTGGGTTCTAATCCCGATACAACTGATACTGTAAGTACTCCGAAGGCATCATCTTTAGAATTAGGTGATGCTTATAAGTTGGCTACTAGCAGTAGGGTCATGGCAGTAAGGCAACTCTCTGGAAAGTTTTTGAAGCAGTTGTCCTTGAAGGATTCAACACAAAACAGTGAAGATTTGAAGCTTCTACTGTTACAATTTTCTTCTTCCAGGGGGATTGAGTCTTCATCTATATATGATATTACTACCAGGCCTTCTCTAAATAGTGATGAGTTCAAAGCATCTGATTCTTCTTCCACCTCTAACAGAAGGATGTCCCTTGAGAGAAATGAATCTAATATCTCTCTAGACGGAAGCATGGTTAGTGAGATCGAAGGAGAGAGTATGGTTGATAGATTGAAACGACAGGTGGAGCATGATAAGATCTTGCTGAGTAGTTTGTACAAAGAATTAGAAGAGGAGAGGAGTGCCTCTGCAGTTGCTGCAAATCAAGCAATGGCAATGATAACTAGATTACAAGAAGAAAAAGCAGCGCTTCAGATGGATGCATTACAATGCTTGAGGATGATGGAGGAGCAAGCAGACTTTGACAATGAAGCACTCGAGAAAGCAAATGAAACTAGTGTGGAGATGGAAAAAACGATACAAGATTTAGAAGCCAAGCTTGAAGCATATAAAATTAAATATGGTGATGTTACCCTCTTGACCAATGTGGAGGCAAGTATTGAGTCAAGTAGTGCAAGGGAAATGGATACTGCAGATATGGATGAAATTAGCATACAAAACCGTGGAAATGTTGTTGGTGATGCAAATGAGGATACAATTGGAGAGATGGAAAAGCCAATCATGAGGAGGAGCCCGAACTTTGACTTTGAATGTGAAAAACTATACATCAAGAGATGCTTGATGAATTTGGAAGAGAAGCTTCTTCTATTTTCTGCCATGCCATCTTCTGATCCGGCTGCATGTGAATCTTCAGCTGAGGAATGGATTAAAGTGAGTAATTCAACAGAAGTTGAGAATAGGGAAGATGTGCAAGAAAATAGGGAAATAGAAGATAGTCCTTTCCAACAAGATGCAATGAAAGAAAAAGGACATGTGGCTGAACGTATTCAGTTGGATACACTAAGAAATGAGCTATCTACTTTGACCAACAGATTAGAACTGCTCGAGGAAGAGCATAATCTAATTCAGCATTCAATCAACTCACTCCAAAATGGAGAAGAGGGGCTAAAGTTTATTGTGGAGATAGCTGGCCATTTGCAACAGTTGCATTTGAGAATAAAATGACTTTTATTATGAAAAAGGTGGGACTTAGTGCACTAATATTAGCTATTCGTATTTACTTTTCTTCATTATAAGGTCTGTTAGACTGCTACCGTTTTTTTAAAAACCCAGAGTATACATATATATTAGTCAACATCATTTTGCAACTTCGTAGATTAGACATGTTGAACTCATTATAGTATGCAGACACGAATGAGTGTTAATCCAAGCAAAATCATTTCCCGTTGAGTTAATATGATCATAGAGTGGTATGAAGTTGTTTGCGAAGAATAAATGCAACAGATTATGCATCTGGAATCTGTATTTATGGTTGAAGTATTGTATGTTGAACTTTTGCAAGTTGTATTTTTTAGTGTTAACAGTCGTCTAATAGGTAAAAAAATCTGTTAATCTTTTCGCTTTGCTAGGCACTAGCTGACCTTGGTTAGAGTCGATCTACATGTATCTTAACTAAGAGCCTAAACATTTGAATAGCATCAAGTTTATGTTAGCTCCCTGGCATATTTCAATTCTATCATTCATTTCCTTTGAACAATAATTTGTCAACTCAATTTTTTCCTGTTATGTTACTCCCGCAGTCTTCAAAAAGGAGTCTTGTTTGAAATTTTATATATTGTCCCCAAAAAGAGTCTTATTTGAGCAAATTAGCAAAAAGAAGATAATTTTCATCATTTTTGTATATTATTCTATAACAGGTGTGCTAAGCAAGTTGATTGTGCTATATTAGTATATTTAGTTGAAACAACAAATAAATTTAAAAATATAGTTATATTTGATGACTTCCAATAGTTATAACGTACTAAAATTTAAAAGTTGTATTTTTATGAAACAAGACTCTTTTATGGGATGGAGGGAGTACATTTTCTTACAAAACATTGTAAATGTGTACACTAACCGAGTTTCTTTTTATTATGTCATTGCAGATTCAAATGTATGAAAGATAAATATGTTAACTTTGCCGGGACAAGAATGGAAACAACAGTGAGAACAAAGTACTTTATGGGTGTGTACAAACTGTTCTGCTTTCTCAATTCTCTTACGAACAAGTAGCGGAACAACATATTGATTATTCAAGATTCTAGAATTACTAGCTTGTGAGTAAATCTCAGTTTTATGTTTTTCTTGTTTTAGATGTTTGCTTTTCTGTGTTGCCATAGTAGTCTTTTAATTTTTAGGTTGGAGGGAAGTTTCAAATATTAGTTTGTTTTCCCTCTGAATTCTTGTTTTTTGTTTATAAATTTTATTATGAATTTTTTATTGCAGAAGATATTCTTCCTTCACAATGTCCACTTGTTTTAAATACTGAAAGACAATAAGGCCCCGTTTGGTACACGGAATTCAAACTATGGAATTGGAATTGAGGACTTCAATTCCAATTCTGGTGTTTGGTAACACAAAAATTATGTGGATTTGGAATTGACAATGCAAAAAATGAATTGAAATTGACAGAATTCAATTCTATAGAATTGAATCCCATGGAATTTCAATTCCAATTCCATCAATTCCGTATACCAAACGGACCCTAAGGGTTGGCTTCTTTTCGTGCACTTATTCTCTTAATAATCTAATTACATTGCGAAAATTACTACATACTCCCTCCATATGAAAAAAAATTTTGACCAAAGAAAAGCAAAGAAATTAAAGCAAGAAGGGATTGGAGGGAAGTTGGATATGAAAGAAAATACTAAGAATTTCTACTTGCACAAAAACAAACACGATATCATATATGTGCTGCATCTTGGAAAGAGATACAAGTCTGGAAAAGAAACTGCAAGAAAAATGATACAAAAACTAATAAGGGCAAACCTACAGCCTTGCCATCGCCACACATCCCCGGCAGTGCATGGGTGGTGGGGGTGGGGGGGGGGGTTGCACTCGATAAATATATGTATATATCTTTTATCTGTTATAGTAAGTAAAATATATAATAGCAGAACTTGAAAGTATAATAATATATATCCTCATATACCCAGACTGAGATACAGTATGTATGAGTTTTGATGCAAAGAAATGCCACTACTGCTTGCTTTCCTCATTCTTCTTTGGTGCTTCTTCTGCTTCCGTTTCTTGTGCTGCAGCTTTAGTGTTCTTCGGTGCCATTAAGTTGTCGAATTTCTCGGTTTTTTCCAGCACGATCTCGATCTGATAAAGTAAGTACTTAAAGGATTGTTAAACTTGTTCATTGATAGTACTGAGTAATTAATTAGTTTATATGATTTGTAGAGAAAAATTGCAGGAATTGTGTTTGATTTTTACCCTGGCTTTCTGGACCATGCGCCCTTTCGTTTCGTCTTTCATTCCAACTGTTGATGTTAAAACCTCTGCACAATTTTTACAGAGATTTCATGATAATTATAATAATTACTATGCATTATTATTATTATTATTATTAATTTGTCTTATTATTATTTATGTGGGTTAAAGATGGAGAGAATGCTTACTTTTCTCAGTTGCAAAGCCATTGTTCTTCAGAATCTCAGCCACAGTAACAACAGTGGTGATTGCTGTAAATTTTTTGTTCAAAGAAAGAATTGGTTATTGTCCCAATATTTGCATAGGAGAATGCTAGGGGTATCCCGATAATTGTACAACGTTTGTACACCAAAGACAAAAACGACTCCATCTTTTATGTTTGTGCCCGAATATGTATGTGTTTGTCTTTTATGTAGAAACGTTGTACAATTGTTGGGTACCCAATAATTTTTCATTTGCATAACAAGAAGAATATGAGGGCAAGAAACAAAAAAAATGAATGTTAAATGAAAAAAAATTCAAAGATAGTTTTTTTTACCCATGCCAAGGGCAGATAGTTCAACCTCGTTATGCTGCTGAATGTACCTCTGCAAGATAAAATTGTTATATTCATTTTATAATATCTACTTAATTGATTATACAACAACAAAAACAATAAACACAATAAAATCTCACAAAAAAATGGTGTAAAGAGAACACAATAAACACAAAAAAATAGTTGAAACTTATTTGCTCACATATTACAATATTAAACTTAGCTTGTTTTCTATTTATAATCCAAAGTAAAATATAGTAAACCTTTTCTTTTTTTCAATTATTTTTATTACGGAGTAAAATAATTCTCCGTATGTACTAGTGATTAATTACCATTATTATGATGTCATATTTTTTAAAAATTAGTTGAAAAATATGGTAGGAGACCACATTAGATGTCTGAAGTGTGAATTCATCAATTTTACTCGCACACTAGATTCATCTGTCAGAAAATTGGGAATATATTTGTAACAATGCTTTCAAATTGGGACCATTGACATATCTCTTAAATTGAAATTATTGAGAGAATTATGTTATTCTTGTTTTCCAATGAATAAGTAATGAATGTACAGATAGCATCACAATTCATCATCACAAACTTGTTAAGAACTTTTTTTTTCTTGTGTGAAATGAAAATTTATTTTTGCCCATAATTGAATTGGGTATAGATTACTCCGTCATTCCTACAAAAAAGAATTTTCACTTTCTTTATTTATCCATCTCGAAATGATTTTCTTACATTCCAAGTTTCTCTATTCAAAAAAAAACTATAGAGTATAGAACAATTTTCTTTTTCTATTAAATTTCAAGTATTCACTTTTTAATATTTTTATTAACTTTTTGCAAAAAAAAAAAACTAAACTAAAAAATATCATCATTTGAGACAGAGAAAAATGTATAAAGGAGAGAATGAGAATTTGGGTATAGGAGAAACCTTGGCAAGATTAACATAGAAGAAGAGAGGCTTCTTTGTATTGGACACTTGAATCCTATTATTCTTCTTCGGTGATTCAGTGTTATTTTTTGTTGGTTGGGGTGCCACCACGGTTTCTGCCACAGCTTCCATCGTCATCTTGTAACAAATTTTGTGAACAAAAAAAAGAGAAAAGTGAAACAAGCTTTTAGCTTAATTAGTTACCCTCTACTAAATATTTTTTTTACTTTTGAAGGGAAAATATGACAAATTATTGGTAAATGTATTTGAGAGAAAAGACATGCAAGTTTCAAGGCCTTTAATATGATGACATTGAAGGGTATTTAATTAATTTGTTGTCCTTTATATAAGGCACAAAACATTGAGAACCAAACATATGAATGTTTTGACTTGGTAAACATCCATTAGATTTGGAGATGAAACAATGGCCATCCACACTCATAAACACAAGTCATTCACATTTCCTTTCTATCCGGGCGGGACTCTATTAATTATTTGGCATGCATCCATATTATTATTATTATTATTATTATCAGAATTATTTTTATAATTATTACTATTATTATTATAAATACTATTATTACTATTATTATTGTTGTTGTTTTTAATTATTATAAGATAAAAATAATTAAATCAAATTTATCCAATTTTCCTATAAAAAGTTAAGTAGTAAACTAGTTTTTACCCGTACTTCGCACGGGCTCGCATATTTTTCTATAAAATATTTCTATAAAATTGTATTATATTAAAATATAAATCTAAAATTAAATAAATAAGTGAATTACTATTAAAGTTGTTCTATCACACAGTTTATTGATTGAATACATAAATATTATGGATTAAGTTATTTGTACACCAAAATTTGTAACTCATTTTGTACCAAAGACATGCACCGACATTTTGTGATAGTCTGATGTTAGTGCAATGATTTACTCCAAAGTTAAAATTAACTCTGGGGGTGCAATTGAAGGGTGTGGTGGTGTGTTCGGGTCGGGATGGGGTGGGGGTTAGAGGAGATAGCAACCGTCAATTTTACGAATGGGACACCGGAGCACCCTCGGGTCATCCCATGACATTAATCTCAATGTCATGGGAACCGGCCTCAAAACGATATGATCATGTTTGATCTTTTGATATCATTTACTTTTTAATTCAACATTATTTTTTTTAAATAAATTAAATTGAAAATGATTTTAGTTAAAAATTCTAAACAACAAGGAGTAACTCCATTCTTTTTAGTGCTATTAACCCTATAATTACAATGTAGTATTTGTTTAAATAATCTTTTCAACTTAATGAAGCACATCCATTCAACACTCCCACTAAGAGGGGTGTATTAACAATTCATAAATCAAATTTTATTTACTTTCTTTAACTATTTCTGTTATTAATTTGATAAAACAACATGTGTCACTCTTGTTTCAAAGAATATTTTATTTAGTGTTTTAAAAGTATATCATTTTATTTTCTTTTTTCATCTGAATCTTCAAATAAATAAACTTAAAAGGAACTTTAGTCAAATATTATAAACTGAAACAGATACTATAAATTAGGATGAATGGAGTATATTTTAAAATAAATATCCTTCTTGTTAGCTAGATTCTTTTGGATAATATGTAGCTAACAAGAAGGATGATTTTAAAATGATCCTTCAATATACTTCAAGAGCAAAATACATGTGACTATTTTAAATTTTCTTTAAATTTTTATTTGTGAAAACCCATGCAACTATATTTGTTTTTTACTTTTTAAAAATAAGTTAATGTCAAGTGCAATAGATTTTAGGTGTAAAAGGCATATAATTATTTTTACGTGCGTGATTATTTTTTTAGAATTTTTATGTGAAAGAAATGTATTTATAATTCTTTTTTTATTTTTTTTGTAAATAAACTCATTTGACAATTTCGGTAAAGCAGCATTAGAATAAATGATTTTTTAATATAAAAATAAGTTTTTTTGTGTAATATATGTAATGTGACTATGGTTTTTAGTTGGAAACTAAATCTATTTGATTTTTTACTAATTGATTTCTTTTTCCAAGATATTCTCTCTTGTTTGAAGTCATGCATGATTTTTTTGTGGTCTATTATGTTTCATTGGTTTGAGTCTATAAGTCATTTATTGATGTTTGAATAATATATTGTTCTTGATCCCTAGTACTATAATAATAAAATGTATCCAAATCTATACAACTCCATTTAGAATAAAAACAATTCATTGACTTTACAAAATCTATGTATTATTAAAAATCTGTCAAAATATTTTAAAATTCAAATAGAATACTCCCATTTAATTAGAAAAAGACTATTTTAGGAACATAATAATTAAATTAAAAAGGACTCATTATTGTTTATTGATGTCTGATTTTATATCTTTTTTTAAAAAACCAAAGCACAAAATTTAATATCAGGACTCTCCAAGATATATATACTCCCTCCGTCCAAAAATTTCTTTCTTGGTTTGACTTGACACGAAGATTAAGAAAAGTTAAAAAGTGTAAAGACTTTTGATGCGTTGTCCTTAATATGATGGAATAAAATGAATAGTCTTTCTTAGGGATGGTCTTAGAGTGGTGCATCATATCATTACTCAATAACATCCATTCTTCCTCAATTTATGGTTAATATAAAGGCCGGTCCCGAAATATGAAAAAATAAAATTGACCCAGTTTAAAATTTATATTTTGGGCCCTATTTTATTTTTTTAGAATACTTATACTTTAAAATTAATACCGAATTTAAAATATATGGGACCCTAAAAGTTTAAGGACTCTGTGTGGTTGGTCACTTTGCACCCCTTTGAATTTAAGCATTTTCCATCCCCTTTTTCCTTTGGTTTATATTTTTTTATGTAGTGCAAGAAGAAAAAACATTAGGAATACCGATTTGATCTCTATCTAATGCTCTTAATTCCTCCTCTACGTGGTTCAAATAATTGGTCGTTTTTTTGTTGGAAACATAAAATTAAAGAGTTTTTTGGTGAGCTTATTGGGCTAGCATTTTGTAATAAAAAAGGAGACGTTGAAGCAAAAGAGAGAAAAAAACAAAATGTCGAAGCAATTTCATGAGGCCCTATGTGATGGTTGGTTCACATGAAGCGTCCTGTCAAAATCAACTTGTGGAGTAAAATTAAAGGGGGTGGAAAGTGTGTTTGGGTCGGTGCCGGATGGGGGCTTTATTGGGATTAGGGTGAAAACCGTCAATTTTACGAATGGGGCACCGGAACGCCTTCTGGTCATCCCATGACATCAAGGTTCAATGTCACTTGAACCTTGTGTCTCCCAAATTTCTTCAAAAAAAATTATTCTCCCAATGGTTAAACTAGTCTTCTAGGTCGGGAATAACTTTAAACCCGAAACATAGAAATCAATCACCTTTAGATTGATTGAGCGATTCAAGGAAGAAGAGAGAAAAGGTTGTGGGAGGAGGCTAAACTGCACTGTTGACGACGGAGAGATCTCCTTACCTTGTTCATATCTGCAGCTCAAAGGAAGAAATCTTTGTAAGATTTCCATTTCTTTTTCTGCAATGCGTGCTTCGATCTGAATCTCTAGATTCATCTTCAACAATATCTTCGTTCATCTTAGCTCCATCCAAATCTCCGTTTCTGTTTCTCTATTAAATATCCGTTTTCTAAAGGAAAAAAAAAACTCTTTTCTTTTTCAAATCTTTCGTTGAATCCGGGTTTGTTTTCTTTCACCTTTTAGAGATGGTTTGAATTTTTTTGAGAATTTTCGTGTGCTTGTGCTTTTGGGTGCATTTCACCTTGCAGAAATAGGACTTTTTTGCCCTTTATTTGAAGATTCAGTTTTAATTTTTTTTCTTTCCATATTGAAATGCTTTGTGTTAAATTTGGCTACACTATCTAAATATGGAACATTCATGAATGGGCTCCATCCTAGTATGTATGGATGCAAAAAGCGCCTTCAATGTACATAGGTGTCATAGAATGAAAGGATGATTTTGGTATATTCTATTACCAATAGATGTGGAACTCGTCATGTGAATGGAAGCTGCAAACGCTTGTAGTCTGTTTGGTCAGTGCCTCTTGCTTATGAGTTAGGATGATTTGATAGTGTTATTTGGCTTAAAATAGTAGGTAAAAGAACTTCAGTTGTGGTGCTCAGGTTCTTTTATAGTTTGATGTGAGTTTTCAATGAGTGAAATGGTAACAGGTATGATAAGAAAACACAAATATGGAAGATAATTGACAGATGTTTGACACAAAGTGTACTTGAGTTGCTTTGCAGTTGTCTTCATGTCATTCATTATGCTATAAATGACTTGCTCACAAGCAATACCGAATTTGGCGTTTCTGATAGGACAGCGCTTTGCTCATAAATATTTCTGAGTTAAGCACCATACATCATTTTTTTGTTTAAAAGTTCAACCAAACAAAGTAAAAGACTAAGCCAACGTTTTTTTTTAATATCTGCAATTGTTGCGTGTGTGTGATATCGCCCCCATCCCATCAGACCCACACAAAGTTTTTTGAAAAGTGTTGGGTTGCCATTGCTCTTACTCAGGTGTGCTACTTTGTGTACTTTACTTAAATCTATGTACTTCTATTTTTGAGCCAGGAGTCTCTTGGAAACAGCCTCCCAAGACCCTACTATTTTGGGACTTTACAATTTTTTTTGTTTTTTCGTTGGGTTGTTATTGCTAATATGGAATATAGATTGAATAATATGGCTGCATTTAGAAGTGTCTCACCAAAAGAAATGATGTAGAGAGTGCCATAGACACCATTCACTAGAGTTTATGAAGTGGGTTATAAGCTCTGTTTTACAGAGCTCAAAATGTAGTCACAGACTCTGTTCATAGAGCTTATTTTAGAGCCATAGATATATTCTATAGTCTGATAAATAAATAAGAGCTAAACTTTAAACAAATTTCCAACACTATTCAAGCATAGTTTAATTGAGCTTATTTCAACCACAATTTCAGCAACTTTAGCTCATTCAACCACTTCAAATTTTTTAGGCCTTACCAAACATGCTCTTTATTTCTTTTCAATAATAATCCTGTTTTTTACAAAAGATTTTTTTAATTTCTCTTCTTTTTTTTGTTCTTTATATTTAAGAGCTTTCTCAACAAGTAATAAGGTTTTAAGTACCTTTTTTCTTCGCCCTATAAGGCTTGGATTAAAAAAATATGCCTGGAAAAAGAAAAAAAATACTACGGAAAGTTTTTCTCTCATGTTTAGGATTACCATGGAAAAGGATGAGGAAAATGGAATATGATAAATATTTTAATGTAATAGACACAAATAAAATGAGTTTGAGCAAATAATTTGTTCTCCCTTCCATTTTCTTTCTTTCCAAATTTCTCCAATATTTCCTCTTTGGTTTCTTTCTGTAGCCTTTTCTGTCTTACAAATAAACCCTTTTAATTTTTCAGATGCCAGATTTGATTTTTTTAGTTTGCTAAGCACAGCTTATAGGCTCTCTTTGGTATATCTTTTCTTATCTCATAGTCTATCTTTTTAAATATTATCATGTTTAACATGTTACAATTTTTTAAAGTTATTAACTTTATTTTCATTATGGAAATGAGTTTATAATGCATAGTTTGAAATAATATTTCTATGCCACAACTAAACTTATTGACACTGTAAAGTTCATGCCTCCAACCATAACTAATTGGGATTAAGGTATTGGTGATGAATATGATGAAGTTTATCACCTTATTCAATTAACAAAATTTACCCCCACCTCTGTTCATTGCCAATCGAGCTAGAAGAGCCATTACTGTCAATATTTTAGATTCAGGTAGGTGATGAGCTCAATCAAAATGGTACATCAAACTTCTATTGCTTCTTACCTTCTATGATGTCTTTAGCAGTAAATGCATTAATGCATCAAGTGTATGAAGGAAACAACCTGTCCGTCACCAACCTGTAGAGAGAACAATACTGAGAACCAACTCGATAGTGGTAGACTTGACTACCGAATTGAATGTCTCATAACATTCAACATCAACCTGTAGCGACCTGCGAATTACAGCAAGAAGAGCTTTCTGTCTCTCAAGAGACCCATCGGTAAGAAATTGATCGCACCAATTTTGGTTTTGAAGAGTGGTGATATGATATGAGGGAATGGGAGCACTGATACAAAATGGGCATATGGGTCAATACGTCAAGTGGCATGTGAGATTTGAAAATACCATGCTTTCTGCAGGTTGTGAGGTTGTCATATGGTGAGTAGGTTGCATTGGGGTGTGGATGGCGATGGCGAGGTGCTCCATAGTGGGTTGTTTGTGGGTAGGGAAGATGCGGGGCAATGTTCAACTTAGGTGGGAGCAAGGTTCAGCTCTGTTATGTGCTTGACCGTGGATTCAGTGTTGTGAGATTGGCTGCTTGGGTGGTCTTTGGGGTATACTTGAAAGTGCCGTGTAGGGGATGAGGGTGCCAAGAAGTCATAAGTAGATGATACTCGTGGTTGTCCTGCTGGTTGACAGGAAAAAGGTTCAAGTGTTTTCATCAAATGGAACATGACGGACGACATTGATTTTGTGTGGAGAGGTCACGACATTTCACTCTCCATGGTTTGTGGGAAGTCCCAAAAAAGAGAGAATGGGGAAGTAATTTTTTGGTAGAGTTGTAGAGGCTGGAGTGGCAAAGGCACCCAAAGGTGCGTGATTGAGTGTATGTTGATGGTATAGGAAACAATGAGGAGTGGAGAAAGGAGAGTTTTAGTGGGTAAAATGTTGGAGAGATAGGTGCCTAGTTGGAGAATGGGGCCAGTAGGATCATACAACAAATCCAATAGAATCTCGCATGACAGCAGAGTAGAGCTGGCAAATCGGTCGGTCAGGTCGGGTTCGGGTTCGGTCACTTCGAGTTTGGGTTATTTCAGGTTCGGGTCAATTCGGGTTCGGGTTGAGAACTGTATGTTCATGACCCAGTGTCATCGGGTTCGGGTCGACCCAACGGGTTATGACTTTGATTTTTTAAATTTTTAAATTCACATTAACAGTTACATTTTCGATTAAATAAATTTAAAATATCAAAAATATGTATTACATCTATTAGATTACTCTATTCTAAATCTTAAAATTTTTTTTAGATATATAAATCAGTATAAGGAATTTAAAAAATGTTTAAGTTTTAGGAAAAAGTAAGATAATTATGCAATATCATTAAAATTTTGTCTGAAAATATAAATTTATACATTATGAGTAGTAAAGTGTATGATTTTGAAAAACTCTTACTTTAGCGGGTCGGTTAGGTTGGGTTTGGGTTCGGTTGGGTTTGACCCATTTTTAGCGGGTCATTTCGGGTTCGGTCAACTTCGGGTTCGGTCATCAAAACTTTTGTTCAAAATTCTGTATTTTCAGATCGGGTTTCGGGTCAAAAACAGGTCGGGTCAGTTTTTGTCAGGTCTACAGCAGAGTATTACGAGGGTGTGTACGCATGGTGTGTACGCATGCCCACACTTGGAAGTAGAGAGGCTGTTTCCAAGGCCAGTAGGATCATATGGCGTTAAATAAAGAGAGTGACACTATTCATGTGTGATGGAAAGAGTCTCAGAATTGCATGACCTGTTGAACACATGTGGAGGGGAGAGCTGTCAAACTTGTGACCATTCTCACACTAGAAAGTTCCAACATCTTCTTCAAACAAATGTGATTTTTGGGTTAAGGGGAAGCCCCACATAAATTGAGTAAAATCATCTGAAATCAATCTAAGATGTAAAAACTTTCTTGGTAGGGGTAAGGTCTGCCTTCACCCCCACCCTGGGACTTGGAATTTTATTTGGTTGGTTGTTTGCATCTAAAAACAATGCTCCTCCTGTCTCGGAATAAAGTTCAATTTTTGACCAGGTGTGGTTATTGACAAAAGTGAATTTGTGCGATTGAAATTTATGTGGAGGAGAGAAATGATATGAGCCACGCAATTCGTAAAGTATCCATGGCGCCTCAGGAAGGGGGCAGGAGCATTGGTGATATGAGAGCCCTAAACAAGATAACAAACTACCATACAAGGCATAAGACTAATTACATGCAAATCCATAAATATCAAGCAATGTGTGGAGACTGTCCATCAACAAAAACAACTGCACCATGTGTTTTTGTAGGAATATATAGTTTAATATAGTTATATACATTTAGTTTACACTACAAATTTAATGTCACTGACCCCAAGTAGTTGGGATTAAGGTGCTAATAATGATTATGATGGTGATGAATAACAACAGCAATTGCTTGTGATATCTGTTTACTCTGTTTATCAAAGCGACACTTTTTTCGAGTTTAGGAATATTTTGGGGGTTTAATATTTATCATTTTGTTTTAGGAAACTCTTTGGCAGTCTACTTTCTCAGATGGATGATCTCAAACACCTTGATGAAGAAGACAGTTGGTCCCTGACTTCTTCGTATCCTTTATATACAGATTTTAGTTTCTTAATCTAATGTTCCAAGTCTCTCTTTGGAGTCTTTGCCAACCTTTTGCCAATTTGAAACTGTTTTTATCCTTAACATGAGTAGTACTGCAGCATCTGTGAGAACCATCAAATCCAAACTTACCGTCCCAGTAGCCCCATCCTTTAGATCTGCCGAACGTGTAGCAAGACGTAAGGAGGTATATTTAATAATATTAGTAGGGAAAGGTTATTTTGACACCTACCCTTGGGTGTCATAATATGACACCGGATCACGTGAGATCCCTATGGTGCTCTGTTGGGTCCCCGAAATGGGTCCTACCCCTCAATCCCTCCACAAACCTCCTTCTCAGCCCCTGGAAGTGGAACACACTATAATATTTGGGATTGGGCATTTCCAAGGAGGGATGGGGTTTTTTTGGGGGGGAGCCGGATCCACTTTGAAGCACAACAGAGCACCATAGGGCCCGGTGTCATAATATGACACCCAAAAACAGTGTCGAATGAACCTTAATGTTATTTCTATTATTATCAATTGATGAAGATGCTTGTGTCGATGTTGTTTCTTCCATTTCTTTTTACTGGTTACACGTATAAATGTGTGGAAGTATATTTCCTTTCCGTTCTCAGTTCTATGAGAAGTTGGGTGAGAAACACAAAGCTTTGGAAGCAGAAAAACAAGAATGTGCTGCCAGGACCAAGGTACAACACTTCTAAGTAATGGAAATAATGCTTATTTTCATTTGTGTTGTACAAATCGCAGCATTGTTTTGCATAATCTGCTTCATTCATCTCTACTCTTCAAAGAAATTAGACACTGAACCTATTGCTCTCCGTGATTCATAGGAAGAGGAGGAAGCAGCTATTAAGCAGCTTAGGAGGAACATGGTTTACAAAGCAAATCCAGTTCCAAGCTTTTACCAGGAAGGGCCTCCTCCAAAGGCTGAACTTAAGAAGGTAAACCGTAGTTTAGGACGGACCCCTTTTCACCTGACATGAAAAAAGTGATCTGATCTGATTTTTTTATGAATTTGTTTGGCTTGGTTGTTTATGGTCTGATCTTGTTTAACGTTTTCCATGAAAAATATATGCTCCCTCTGTCCAAAAAAACTTTACCATTTTGACTTTCACGGAGTTTTAAAGAAGTATTGACTAGTGAAATGTATACGGTTAGAATTTATTTAGATGAGGGAGAAACCTTGTGAGCCATGTGTTCATTACTTTAATAAGTAGGTGGAAAGTGTTTTTTGGGATGCCCAAAAAGGGACAAACTGTATAACTTCGTTAAAAAATTAGCTTCTTTTTTTGAAATCGTGACTTCCCTTTTGGGATAAAAAGTTCTTAAAAAATTCTGTTAGATCAGCATTTGTGTCTATTTCTAATGTATTCTCTCCATCTGCTGGATTTTTTGTAGTTATTGTTCATATGTGAACCTAAATCTTCTTTACATATTTTGAAAGCCACCTTTTTAATGCAGTTTTTAAATACTCTCTTTGTCTCCAAATAAAATTTCCAGCTACTATTCCAGCGTCACGATAACTTTTTGTTTACTTATGTGTTTTCATCGATCATTATAGAAAACAACAGTCATCTCTTGTTTACTTATGTAAGCTTTATTTTTTATTTATATATCAATTTTCAAATAAAATGGATTAAAAGAAACTTCATTTTACCTCGTAAACGGTAAATCCCTCTCTAACTTCTATAAACTGGAGAAAATAGCTGCACTCAAGCATCGCAAACCATGTGTATCCAATGGGACAGGGGAAGTAACAGGAGAATACATGCAAACTCTGTCCTCATTGATCACAATTGTGTACATTATGTACACAGTACATTTTATACATACATACATACATACATTGTGTGTGTGTGTGTGTGTATTATCTGTTTGACAAACTATACTCTTGTTCCAGCTACCCGTCACTCGGGCAAAATCACCGAACTTCACACGAAGAAAAAGCTGTGGGGATGTCACCTCACGGGAAGAAAAAAAAGATCCGGTGAGGTCAACTCGCCACAGCATTGGGGCTTACAGAGAATATAACCCGACGCTATCTGCTCCCAAAAAGAAGGATCAGACAAGCGTTCAACGGAATACTATTAATGGGCATACCAACAGAGAGAAGGCCCCTTCCAAGTCAGTGAAAGGCACAAAGAAAACTTCAACAAAAAATCCAAAAGAAGATCGGGCGAAGGAGATGAAAGAAACCCCAGAGAATGGGACAGAGGAATGTCCCGTGAAAGAGATGAATGGAAGAAGTCCGACGAAGGAGATGATAGAAACTTCTCACGACGCGACTGATCAGCCAAGAGAGGATATTGTTGCAGTTCAGTCATGAAAAAAAGGTTGTGTCATTTTGGTTTTTCTTTAATTTGTATCGGGAAAATAGTAGGGGTAATTAAGGTTTGCGCACACACACCCTCTGAAGACCCTGCTTTTTTGTGGGAGTCTACTGGGTTTGTCGTTGTTGTTGTATTGGGAAAAAGTTGTCTTTTTCAGTTTAGATCCTTACTGTAACTTGGATAGTTTCTCTTTATGGTCAAAAGCAAATGGCTGAACTGATGAATGTCTTAATCTGGGGGGTTGTATATTCACATTCTAATATACTCCTTATATGTGTAATACAATGGTCCGGTCCTGCTGCAAGAGAGTGAGAGACCACTACCACTTGCTGAGTTGATGGGTATGAATATGCACTTTGACTCTCTTTTTTTGTGAAATTTATTCTATGTCAAATTTATGGCATGTTGTTTTGGTACAGATGTCATTGGATTATGATGTCTGCCTCACAGAAACGATGTTTGTGTTGAAATATGATGATGTGTTTGAACCCCCGCCCCCTCCCCCCCTCACACACGTGTCGTTTGGGTCACCGCGAAATATGTCTGTATGAACCCCTCAATGGCACCCAACCAATTGTGTTGCGAGAGTATGATGCATGTCCGTTCGGTCGGGTCCAAGGGGACCCTTGGGGATGGGACCTGTCCTTTGCGAGAGTATGATATCCTTCATAGACATGTTATGTCTAATGTCTATGTTAACCTTCACTGGATCCTCACACATACGACACTTGTGCAAACCCCTTTAGTAATGTCCATGCGCACACAATGTTTGTAATATGCAGACACATAATGCATTCTGCCTATGTGTGTCTCTCATGTTTATGAGTGAGAAATCTACATAGACATGTATAGTATATATGCATACAAAAGAGCATTTGCAATGGAGGCAATTCTCACCTTGCTTTTACTCCCACTACATCAGCATTCCACTAATTTTTAGCCACACTCCAAAACCCCGCAACGTTATCACCCTCAAAAACTTGCCACTCCGTTTCTTATTCATTATTCATTATTTTTAATTTAAAACTTATATAAATTTTGAATAATTTTTTTAAAAAATGAATAAGGATTGTAACAATTAAAATATTAAAAATAAGCAAATTTAACATTAAATTACGAAGTACTACACTAATAAAAAGAGAAATTTAACATGCTTAAAATTAAAATTACAGAAATTAAAAAATAAAAGAAGTGCTTAAAAAATAAAGACTTTCATATTAGATCAAATCCGAAACATCTTTAAATGTAAATACATTCAGATCAGGTCAGATTAGATCAGAACTTATTCCAATTAGATGAGGTAAAGAGAATAAGCCCTTAATCCCACTCTTTATTTGTTGGATCAAGATCACAGCAACAATGGGTGCAAAAGAGGGATGTCCGACTTCAACTCTTAGCAACAAGGAGGCAACCATGAACAATCCCACTTTTTATTGTAGGACAAAGATTATAGCTCAATATACCTGAATGAGGCCATATCCTTTGTTTACAAAACAAGAACCAGAAACAAACACATAATTTCCTTATAGCATTCATTTTTGTAGCAATGTCGTGACAAGCACAATTGTACAAGGGTGAAGACAAGCCTCTAACGAGTCGCAAATCTGTCACGCTAGAAATGCTGTAGCTATTTACATTCAAGAAAACTGCAGAAGATCTTACTGCACAGCCTGAAGAAAACCGTGCAAAACCAGTATAGGGGAGCGCGTACGATGATGCATGCCACGTTGGATTGTCTTAATAGGGCCACCAATCAGGGCCACCAGGCTTCTTCACAAGAATCTGATTATACTCCGGCCTTGAAGTCTGAGAAGAAAAAGTAACCACAAATGAGTTTGCATGAATTGCAATAAGAGCCACATCATATACTACAGCAGTGAATCTTTGAAACAATTTCTCAATCCCATTCCCTTTCTCCCTGCCGAAACATGCAGAAACTGTTCAGCATTATCCATCGTTCTAATGTCAAGGTTTCATCCAACTATCCAAAATTGTTGAAACCTAAGGAACCAACACTAGATAGAAAACCTATTGCACTGCTGTCCAATTACCAGTATAAGGCTCGTCTTTACTCCTATATAAGAATGTGTATTTTTCCAAATCATCTTATATACTCCCTCCGTCCCAAAAAGATTTACACGTTTCAAAAAAATTGTGTCCCACAATCCCTTACCCATTTCTATTAAAAAACCACTTTTACCCCTTACTTTTTCAAACCCTACCTATCACATCATACCTTTTTCCTAATAATCTACACAACACATCCTACTTTTACCAATCACATCAAGGGTATTTTTGGAAAGTCAACACAAAATTATCCCTCCCTTAATTTCAACTTTAGTCAAAATGGGTAACACTTTATGGGACGGAGGGAGTATTTAACATATTGTGTTGTCTCTTATATTTGCTTCCTCTAACTAGGCTGTGATGTCCCACAGCAACAATATCTCAATATTCAACAAGTATAAGGTGAGGTTCAAAAGGGAAAAGGCCAATGAGGTACAACTTCAGGTATGCAAACTTCGCATGCCACTCGTGAAAAGTGAACTTTGATTCCCGCTCTAATCTCACAACAAATAATTGAGTTTGAAGCCACTTCTTGGTTCAAGCTCTACAAGGGAGAACTTCTGCCTCATTGACAGCAACTAGGTTTCAGTTGTTAAGAGGTGTGAATTAACACTGAGAAGGAAAATGTAGGTTATGCAGCAGATTTCAAGTAGTTGCAATATATTGAGTAATTCATAATCTCCGGTAAAATGTAAAAAAACATCAATGTAGCCCCTCTAATTATTTAACTCGGGGTTTTAACTTTCTTATGTAGTATGTACGCAGGATGCGGCTGGGGTCCTGGGAGGCTATTTTGGCTTTGTAATGACCTTTTTATCCTTGATATAATAGTTTTTTGCATCCCTTTAATTCCCCTTCTCTTCTCTTGAATTTTTCTCTTTTGGTTTGCAAAAAAATCTTTCCATTAATTTGTCAATAAATATAAGAAACTGTTGTTGGTTTTAAAATGTTATATATCCCGTATTTAACAATGAAGGGAATTGGTAATTATGCTCACATTGCCAATGGAGCTAAAGAGTCACAATTGACAATGTTTTAGTTCCCGGCACATAACGGATCAAATCAAAATGGAAATTTAAAACTTCTCTTGGGCAGTAAATGCAGGATTATGCAGCAATGGATCTAGTGTCTAATGAAAATAGCCTCTGTTTTTTTCTAGGAATAAGACTGCATACATCTTGACCCCCAAAACCCTACAGTGTTGCAATTATACTGGGTTGTTCAAAATACCTCAGGTGTAAGTTTTGTTTCCCTAGTGTAGTTTAAGAATAAACATGGGATTGAAGTTTTCCCGAAAGAGACATGTAAGTGTTAAACGCAAATTGACAAAGAGTGTGAGAAATGGTTTGTCATTGGTAGGAAGTTGTGTAAATGTTAGAAGGTAATGCGAGTTGGGATTGGGAGCAGAATGTGACGTAATTTATGTCATTAAATTGTACTCGTAGCCATCTTATAGTGCCTAAGAAAGCTAAGATCATTGCAGTGGCCCCCTAACATTACCTCAATCTTTATATGGGGATAATCCGAGAATCTCTAGGAATTTCGGATAGTCAGGTAAAAAATCAATACTCTAAACCAAAGAAGGTAACTTCATATCATGTTTTTAACATTCCCAACAAGCCAACATAGTTTGGTATTACTTGAGATATATAATTATGAGATTCCAACCCAAGACCAATTGGCTATGGAAGCTGAATATATTCATTATATTGCTTTTTTTTGCTTGGGTATTTGATCCACTCATCATCACCCAAATGCCCCATAGATTCTTATCATTACTACTCACACCCTATGTTGCACGGATTCTTAAAAAAAACATGTCATTTCCCGTGCCCAAAATGTTCCAATTTACATACTTGGGGGCAACCCAACACCCAAATCCTTTATAAAATTTGGAAAAGTTGGTGATTCTGTGTTCCCGACCATGTCCCCATCTCGATGCAACTAGCTCAGACCTTACCTTCAGTTATACTCCCTTCATCCTAAATTAATATATGTGTTTACTATTCACAGAGTCAAACTTCATTCACCTTTTTTCATATATTTGATACTCATTTGATAAAATAAAATAATTAGGTCACCTCAGAGCTTTTGATGTAGTTTTCAAATATATAAATTATATTTCTTAATCCTGCTCTAATTCTCTAATAAATTGGATTGAATATAACTTCGATCAAATACCACAAACCAAAACATGCAGTTCAAATTATAACGGAAGGAGTAGCAGTACAGAAAATATACACTTTATAAATCAAGCTCAAAGATCAGACACATTCAAAACTCTGCTCGATCATAGAAATTTACACAAAGAATTTGAAGGTAAGAAGCAACATGATTTCTGCAATCCAAATGGAGATCGGAAAAATGGCTCACCAGATCTTTGAATATTACATATGCGATGACGAAGAAGAGGACGAAGAGGATCTCGAACTCGGCGAAACGAACGAACTCAAACACTTTGTTCACTGCCCGAGTCAAGAGCGAGGCGGACTCGTCCCTTCTTCCACCTCTTACCTCACGCTTCGCCATCGAGTCTCTGATTTGCCAATCTGGAGATCTAAACAATCTAAGAGGATCTCCAATGGATGTGCTAAAAATTGGAAAGCTAAATGCTATTTTAGCTTCCCAACAGTGATTTAACATTCTACTTTTCTACCACCTCTCCAACCACATCATTTATTTTTTAAATTTTTATACTCCGTAATAATTTAGAATTATTTTATAATAATATTTTTCCACCAAATTTTGACTCCAAAGTCAAAATCAATTTGTAGGGTGTAATTGAAGGGTGGGGGGTGCGTTCGGGTCGAGGCGGGGTGGAAGGGTTTACCGGGGGGTTAGGGGGTAGGAACCGTCAATTTACAAACGGGGCACCGGAGCGCCCCCGAGTCATCCCATGACATTAATGTCATGGGAACCTTGCTCATTTTATTTATAGCATATGACTAATGATCATCTATATATAGAGTATGTAAAGTTAAAAATAACTAATGCTCTAAAATTTAAATGACTCATTGGAGCTCTACTTTATCTACAGTAAAGTGTAAACTATTTATTTTTAAGATTATAAAGGGTGCATTGGAGTTGGTCTTAGACCAGATAGAGCGTGAATAAAGCTATTTCTAACGGTATAAATTTTGATATTTTCAATATCAAAATTCTTTGGTGAAACCAAAAAAGACATAGAATTTAATATCTTTAGATACGATAAATATTTCAAAAGCAGAGTTTTAACATCTCCCAAATATACGCGGGGATTTGATATCTCTCTCGTTGTCATTCTCCGCCACCGGCTATCATTGTAACAGTCAACCACTCATGTTTTCGATCACCTTCACTTATCACTAATTAAACCATGATTTTAAATCTCTCCAAAACAAATTGTTTCATAACTCAAAACGCATATCATTTCTTCCAGATTTCATAACTCATATCTTATCATATCTCAAAAACTCACTAAATGGATCCTAAGTGTATCCCATTTGTACAGTCATTCTAATTGTTACAAAATATTAGTGCATAATATTTTTAGTGTACTATCTTTTTGTAATAGTATAAACAATATAGACCAAATAGTGTAAACAATATAGATTAGTGTCAGGCAATAGAGTCAACAAAAATACTAAGGATACACCTAAAGGTATACCCAAATCTATTTGCAATCCCACCATACAATTCTAATGTTGATAAAAAAAATATTCCGTAATAATTAAGTAGATAAATGATGTATGTTGAATATTGATGGGTACAAATGAGATATGCAATTTGGTGTACATCTAGCATCATTTTAAAGGCAACGTATCAAAGCTCTCCTTTACTAAGATGATAAATTACGGTGTACTCTCATAAAGTGCCACATATGTTGTTAATCCTGTTCTGTAAAGGGGCCAGAGAAAACGATTGAAGGATAGTTTTTAAAAAATTATGAAATCAGAATCTAAATTCATAAAATAATAAAAATGAATGGAAATCTTTATAGAGTGTGAGCAAGAATCTTAAACTCATATAAGTAATAAAGCCAAAGAAAATCTCCAATTCCTAAAATTTAGGCCAACTACCACACTACCTAGTAAGTACTCCTAGACTTTAGGCTCTACCATATTACTTAGTAACTACTCCTAGAATTTAGGCTCACTTACACACTATTTACTAAGTAATTAGCATATACTACCTCCGTCCCATTTTATAACGCCGGTTTCGGTTTACGATGTTTGACTGAAATTATTTTCAAACAATTTTATATGACAAATGGTATAGAATTAAAAAATAAAAATTACATATTAAAAACTACATCAAAAGATCTACAAAACTAGTAGTGACAAGAATATTTTATTTTATCAAATTGCTAACGAAAATAGAGAAAGAAAGTGAATGAAGTTTGACCTTGTGAATAGTAAAGAGACATTATAATTTGGGACGGAGGGAGTATAAAATAAAGCACTTGACCTCCTAAACAAATGACCCTAACTATCTTTATTGCAATTATCAATAACATAATAGGATTAACAACATACGTGGCACTCTATCATACTTTGTACTCTTGTATTCATTTATGTTAGGAGTACACCAAGAAGTGTATCCCACATAATACCCCAAAGGGATGCATCAACAATTTAATTGTTCACATTGGCATAAAAAAATTGCATTAACACTTTGTGTCATTGTAAACCATTATACTATCATATTACACTAACACTAAATGTTGATGTATGTTTTCGAGGTACAAAGTGTGGTTTAATTTTTGAGGCACATATGCTTTAATTCATTCAAAAATACAGAGTAATTACATACACCACTTTGTACCCATTTTTTGTCGTCTTACATTCTTGTCGCAATATCAATAGTTTATTATACAAAAATCACCCAAAATAATAACAAAATATAGTCTATATAGTATATATCTGGATAAACGTTACATATTTTTATTTACAAAATAAGATTATTATGATGTGATAAGGAGTATTATTTACTGGTATTTCATAGTATATTTTGCATAATATGTTGACATTACAAATTCTATTTTAAATAATAAGCTAAGTTTAATGTCTTATTTTGAGGAGGTTTCAATTCCATTTATTAATACAAGTACACATGGAACCCACGGAGTATAAATTTCCTTTATTACAATATTTGTTTTTTGCCAACCCAAAATAAATAATCTTTGGAATAACGTTGACTTAGTCGTTGCAGTTGACGAAGCTGTAGTTGACTGTGAGGTGGCCCTGACGGACTCCGTCTCCGTTAGTGTCCAATTGGTTGAACACATTAACGTCCAAATCCAACCCTCCGTTCGAGCACCGGTCCACGATCCTCACCGTTACCTGAGCGCCCGTTGCCGTGTTAGTCACCTGTTTAATGATTTTGTCAATGCATGGTAGATATTAATTGCAAATAAAAATATTAAAATTGAACGTTGTCGTTTTGATAATGTTAGTTAATGATGAAACTGTTGTCAAACTAACAGATCAAGACAATATTTATACGAGTGGTCAAAAATATACTCTCATTGTCAAATTATACACAGGGCCGGCCTCGAAAATTGAAAAAATAAAATTGGCCCGGTCCTAAATTTACATTTTGGGCCATATTTTATTTGTTTAGAATATTTTTTCTTTAAAATTATTAACAAATTTAAAAATATAGGGCCCTAAAATTTTAGGGGCCCTGTGCAATTGGTCACTTTGCACACCCTCCGGGCCACCCATGATTATACATTTGGATGTGCCATATATTTGCCTATATATTCAATAAAAATCATGTAACGTATAAATGTATGTGGTTTGCATGTTGGAACATAGGTCATTAAAAGTCAAATATTCTTTCGTGAAAGTAAAATAACTTAAATGATAGATAAATCATTGGTAAATATTCATAAATGATGAGTAACAATTTTGTAAATAATCTAGTCAAAATGAAAAAACGAAAAAACTGGCTTAAAAAATAAGTACCTAATACCTACTTATTTTTTTTGATTTATAAGCAACTTCTATAAGTCAACTTATAAGCAAACAGAAACACGTAATCTGAAGACTTATAAGTTAAAACTGTTTATAAACCATTTTGATCAATATATAAGCACAGAGAAATACCCACATGTCACCTTTTATCATGGCATAATACATAAAGATTACTCACTCTTAGACACTTTCCGCAGGCAGCTTGGCCGGATTGCCCGGCGGGCCCACAAAAGGCGGTCCAACCATACTTCTGCCGCCACGAAAGCGGCCTGCCGGCGTCGGTGGTTGCGCAGAACACACTCGCCGTGTTGTAATTCCACCCGATGTTCTGCGGGTTATAGTTGTTGTACGTCGCCCTCACGTTGGTGGCGCTCTGTGCCGCTGCACCGGCCGCCATCAGCACCACCGCGAGAAGCGCACAACCCGCCGTCACCGCGGCCGCTCTCCCCGCCCCCATTGTTTTTGTATACATGCTATATATATCACTTTGACGTATTACTATTGTATTATGTAATTGATGTGGTCTATGTTTGAATTGTGATGGAGCTATACATATATATGGTGGGGTGTATTTATAGTACTCCCATCCGGGGTTAAATGGTAGCCTAACTTTAGTGGATAAGGGTAATGCTCCCAAACAACTACGAAGTATACACATTTATTATTTGTGCACTTTTCTAAATGATTAAAATAATTTTAAATAATTTAAAGAAAAATTGGTACTCCCTCTGCTCCTATAAAGATAGGGACGGTTTGACTAAAGTGATAAAAAAAGAAGAGATAATTTTGTGTTGACTTTTCAAAAATACCCTTGAGTAAAAGTAAGAGGTGATGTGTAGATTATTAAAAAAATGTATGATGTGATATATAGAGTATCAAAAAGTAAGGGGTAAAGGTGGTTTCTTAATTGAAATGGGAATGACTTTTAGGGACACAATTTTTTGAAACGTGAAGCATTTTATGGGACGGAGGGAGTACTAATTAAATAAAACTAAAACATAAGTCATTTTCCAATATAGGACTTAAACTTTTTTATTTCCTAAATAGTACTTAATAATGTCTAGTGGGAGAAATAATGTCCAATGATGATAGACATTTACTTGAATAATGACTAATGGATAATGATCAATGATCCTACATTAGAAAATAAAAACATATAGTCTTATATTAAGAAAGTTATTGTGTTTTAGTCCTATTTATGTAAGTCCTCTAATTAAAAATAAAAAATTAAATACACAAATACTACATAGTAAGTTTATATATGTATTTTGTATTCAAGTTATTTTTGACTTTAGCATTACTTAGCAGAAAATGAAGAACAATGACTAAGACGATCATGTTTGGGAATAACATTAGATTTAAGCGTAAGACCATGAGGTGCGTAAACGAGATGACTATTGATGCCATATCATCAACGGGGTGGGCGAAAACACTGACACCTCATATGCGGTCTTAACCCTTAAGTCTTATCCCGGCTCCGCTTCTCTCTATTTTTTTCTCCTACTCTTTCTTCTGCTTGGTTCCCCACCCTTAGTTTTTTTTTTGTTTATTTTTTTAATTTAAGTTTTTTACTTTTTTTGTTATTAGTTTAAATTTTTTACTCTTTGTAAATTTTTTTGTTTTTAATGTTAGGCTTTTTTGTCTTGGTTAATTAAAAGTTTAAGAAATTAAGAAAAAATAAAATCAACAATGACGGATATTTTTTTAAAAAAAAACTTAGTTTTTTATATGTATTCTGAAATTTAATATTTATGAAATATTTATTTTATATTTTTAGTTTAAGTAATTTTAATTAAAATAGATGTAAAACAATATAAAAGAAAAGAGAGAGGGGATGGAAGGGATCCTCATGCTCCTGAATTTAATTACCCCGGAGTATGAGATAAATAAAAAATAAATACTCCCTCCGTCTTAAAATTTGACTACGATACGTGAAAAAAATACATTGTATTATGATACAAATTTATATCAATATATTTCTAATGAAACGTTGTTTTGAAATAAGGAATTTTTTATAAAATATATATGTATAAATATAAATATTAATGGTAAAAGTATAATATTGGAGAGTGTGAAAAATCAAATAGGGAAAACATTTTCGGACAAGAGTAAGACTTTGAATTTATGTTGAGAGCCCATTTATTAGGTGCTGTTGTTTTAGGTTGAAAATTTTGACTTTTCAACTCTTTTATAAGTTCACCCACTTTTCTCCTATTCCATTCTTCTTAATTTTTTCCAATATCAATTTAAAAAAATATTTATATATGATGAATATATAAAAATATTATAAGTCCAAATTTATAATATACTATCTCAAACATAAACAAGGATTCGATGATTTTTTTGTCCAAAATTAAAGTTGTCTTACATATTTATTAGAGTGATTATTGTTTTTTGAAACATTTAACTAATAGTAAGTGAATGACTTTCTAACACTTTAGTTTTTCTAATATTTTTCATTGTCTCTTTCTAATTTTTTCTAATTATTTATTTCCGTAAACTATTTTTTTTGAAGAAACCAGTAGTAAACGTAACTATGAATTTGGCAAGTTGAGTCAATTACGAAAGTACTATAGACTTTTATAATATCATTCAATTCAATGTTTCACGCGTCACGTTTTATTAACTGCATGCATGAAAACGTTTGATTTTTATACAAACTTCAAAGTTTGAATGTTTCACAATTGAAGTGGGGTGGCCAATGAGATACTCGCTCCGTCCTTGAAAACATTTCTCCTTTCTTTTTTCATCCGTCCCAAAAAACACTTCTCATTTCTATTAAAAAGTCATTTTTACCCCTTACTTTTTCATATCCTACCTATCACATCATACTTTTTTCATATCCTACCTATCACATCATACTTCAATACCGAAATACACTTCCCTTAAATCCCTCTTCAAAATCAAAACTCCCATGTTTTCCGGGACGGAGGGAGTATTTAGAGAGTTTTTGTGTAGTGTACTTATTGATTTATTATTTATAATAACAATTTTTAAAAATTACTTATATGTTAAATATTCTTTTGTGAAAGTAAAATGATATTAAATGATATATACATTATTTACAAATATTAATAAATGGTGAGACATAATTTTATAAATAATATAGTCAAAATAGAGAAATAAAAAAACAACTTGAACATAAGTAGGTAAGTCCTATTTTTTTATTTATAACCAAATTATGTCCGCTAGGCTTATAAGCATCGAAAAATATCGTTTGTATATAGGAGTTTTATTAGAATTGAACTTGAGCTGATGTTTTGATTACACATAAACCTGCTATTTATAATAACTACTAGATGGTTTAGTTACTGGCACATCTATCTCTGTCTAATACTAAACTTAATATTGGGAAAATAGAAGATAACACGAATATGTTTGAGAGTCGTGCAAACACTTCCAGATTGATTATTTGGACGTTCACTCCAAAATCAATCGGATAAAACTCAAACTTTGTTGATCTAGAACAAATATGTGTTGCGATGAATCCTCCGGACTCCGAATTTTTGACAAAACTTTGCCAAGGTTTTATAGAAGCAGAGAGAAGAGATGTGCAGTCGCGTCTTCTACTTAGAAGTGGCAATTTTTTGAAATTTTGTTTATACCCAAATTTCAAAAATTTAAAATTCAAGTGAATTTTTAACACAACACTTCTTCAAAATAAAAAAAATTTCGAGTCCAGCCAGGGGCTCTAGGGCCCCGTAGGGGCTGCCGCCCCTCGAACCTTGTTCGGGGGCGCTGCCACTGAACCCCTGCCAAGGGAGCAACGCCCCCTTAGAGCCCCTCTAAAACGGAACTTCTATCATAACAAATTCAACGAAGCATGTACTCTGACCACCAAACTTCTTAGATGATTCTTATGATAGCCTTGGTCAAATAATTATTTCAATTACACTAAAATATACTCCCTTCGTCTCAAAAAGTTTGTCCCGTTTCGAAAAAATGGCATCCCTTAATAAAGTCCGTCTCATTTCTATTAAAAAACTACTTTTACCCCTTATTTTTTCATACCCTACCTATCACATCATACCTTTTTCTAATAATTTACTTATCACATCCTACTTTTACGCATCACATCAAGGGTATTTTTGGAAAGTCAATCTCAAAATATCTCTTTTTATTTTACCACTTTAATCAAAATGTCCCAATCTTTTTGGATGGAGTCACGGGGGGAGCATTACACTTAATACCACGTAGCACACACGTTATCTCTAGTAGGGTTCAAACTTATGATCTCCCTTTGGTAGAGAGTCATAAATCACATGGGACTGCATTTTATGGAACACAAAGGAAGTTTGTTGAATAATTAATTTACCTCACTTTGAAGTCTACTTTTTTGAAGCATTGTTTTAAGTATCATGGATTTTAAGGATCCATTTGGTACGCGAAATTTAAATGATGAAATTGAAATTAGAGACAATAACTCCAATTTTGCTATTTTAATTTGTAGCACAAAAATAAATGTGAATTTGAAAATGGTAGTGCCAAAAATGAATTGAAATTGGAGAATTCAATTTCATCCAAATCAACTTCATAGAATTTCAACTCTCAATGTAATTCTAATTTCGTCAATTTTGTGTACTAAACGGATCCTAAGATTTATGGTCTATATTGGGTTGTTTCATGAGATAACGTAACTTACGTTGATGTTTTAAGAACCTCATTTTTTATGAAGTGTTACGAAGCCGGAAAAAAATTAAAGTAAATGCTTAATTAGAAGCCCGAAAAACAAGGGATGAACAAACTCAGATCAAGCCGGGACGAGACCTGAGGCTAAGGTTGAAGAAAATAATATTTTGGAGGGTGTAATTGAAGGTGGTGGATGATCGATTCGAGTCGGGGTGAGTGAGTTTATCGAAGATTAGATAGTATGAATCATCAGTTTTTTGAACGAAACACTATAGGGTTTCCACGTTATCCCATGACATCGCAAACAATGTCATGAGAACCGTCCCCTAAAAAGAAATCAAAAGCTTATTAAATATACGTAGTACTCCATATTTTTTTACACGTGAGTTGCAATATATTTTTCATACATTAAGATTTGGTTTCCCAGCTCATCACATGTTTCTGAGTGTTTATAAGTTGACTTATAAGCGAGAAAAAATAAGTAAATTTTATTTTAGGACACGATTCCATTGACATTCACCAACGTTGACATTGCATTTTTATAGCACATCCGGTGCTCCAATCAGAAAATAGATAGTTTCTACCCCTGACCCACCCACCCCCAACCCCTAAACCCCCATCCTAGCCACACATTGGGAGGGGGCTTAGGAGGGGGTGGGGTGGATGGGTAGATGTGGGGCTAGGGTGGATGATTTAGGGGATGATTTAGGGAGTAAGAACCATCAATTTTCTGATTGGAGCTCTGGAGGTGTTCCAAAAACGTAGTGGGACCGCTAGTGTCACCGTTTGTGAATGTCAACGAAACTCCACTCTTTATTTTAAGTTAGTTTTTTTGTTTCTTCGATTTGACTAGATTACTTACAAAATTATTTCTCAGTATTTATGAAACTTTACAAATGATTTATCTATTATTTAAATTATTTGACTTTCACGAAAAAATATTTAAGTTATAACTAATTTATAAGTTACTAAGTACAATTTATTTGTGAACAATATATCAATGAGAGCGTCTAAAATGACACCAGTTGCTTATACCAGTTCGTTTGTAAAAATGACGGTTCCTACCCCCTTAACCCTCCCCCTAAACCTCCCACCCCAGCCCCACCCCTTGCCCTCAGCCCACCCTCCTGCCCCCTCCCTACCCTGGTAGAGTACTGTACGGGGTAAGGAGGGGGGCAGGAGTGGGATGGGGTGGGGTGGATGGGACACGAACTAGTCATTAACAATTATCAAGAGCAGGGCAGTCTTGTGGCAGAGGAGCGTTGAAGGAACTTCGCCACCTTGAAGACGCCCTCTCGCTCTCGCTTACTTACGGGGATTAATTTTTCCTCTGGTTGAATTTAAAGGACTGTGGGTTTTGTTCGACTTTGCTAAGGATTCACTGAGGAGGGGCTATTGATTCCGAGATGGACGAAGAAGAAATCGAGAAAACAGTGATTGCTTATCTGAAAAAGAAGGGTTTCAAGCAAACGGAGCTTGCATTACAGGAGGAGCAGCAGCAGAGCAAAATCATCACTGACTCTTCGGCTCTAAACTCCTCAGATACTTCCCATGCTGACCCTCTTGCCAATGACATTCTCTCTATCTCTCAGTATGTTATTTTTTTCTTCCTCTTTTGTAAACCCATATATATGTGTTGCCCAGATTCTTCAAGTAGGTGTGTGCTTAGGGTCCCAAAAACTTCCCGTTAGGGTACTCGGGGACGCCCAGACTGCCAAATCCTTTGTAGAATTTGGAAAAGATGGTTTTTTTGGTACTTGGGATGTCCCGACTGCCAAATTCTTTGTAAAATTTGGAAATGTTTGTGTTTTTCTCATTCCCATTGTACAAGTACCCGTCTCTCAATGCAATATACTACCTCCATCCTAGTCCTCCCAGAGTATTCATCGCGTTTCACTTTGTCTGAAAGCTTTCAAAAGTTTATTTCAATATATTTGTAATTGGCGATTAGAGTTCGTCTAGTTTGACTCGAAAAGTCATAGTGGGCGAATCTTCGGGATGGAGGGAGTAATTATTAACTACTAGAGAGTGGTATTGTTCCTCCATTGACAGTTCTTTTTTTCTTGAATTATGTAGATTGTGACTGGTTTACATGTGTTTCCAGATCTGGAAGTGTTCCTGCAAAGTACCGTGATGAGTACAGCAAGCTTCGATCTTGGGCAGATAGTTCTCTTGATTTGTATAAGGTTTGTTCCCCCCTGCATCATTTTAGTGCTGCATATAAATTTAATGAAGCAGTTGCAATTTTGATGGTAATTTGATGCTAGTGTTTGCTTTAGTATTTTGAAAAAAGACTCTTCTTAATGAATGTCTTCAATTGAAGTGGAGAGGAAAAAATAAACATTATGGAAAAGGCTGCATGCTTGAAGTACTGCACAAGTTAATCTCTAGGTGCAAAATAGCAGTTTGCACAGTTGACCAAATCTAAATGCGAATTACTCGATAATGAATTTGCCCAACAAATCTAAATGCACTTTTAGTATCACTTCCTTTTGAGCTATAATGTGTTAATGGTGTTACAAATCTGGATGATGCAGCATGAGTTGCATCGTGTACTGTATCCTGTATTTATACACTGCTTCATGGATCTAGTCGCTAAAGGTCACATTCAGGAAGGTACATTTTCAACAGAAGTTTCTCTCTCTAAAACGAAGAGCTTGCATGATTTTCTGGAGTTACTTTAAATCGCTATGTGATTCCTTCCAGCACGAGCCTTTTTTAATAGCTTCAGAGAAGATCATGAGATGATTCACTCACATGATCTCCAGAAACTAGAAGCTGTCCTATCACCTTCACATCTAGAGGCATGCAATTATATTGTCATTACCTTTTATGGAGTATTTGTGTACTAGTGTGCTTGGACTTACAATGTTATTACTATTTCTTGCAACCATGTAGGAAATGGAGTTTGCATATTCTTTAAGGCAAAGCAAAGTGAACATAAAAATGTGTCAGGTTTTCTCTTGATTCTTCTAAGTATACAGAATTTTCTGCTATTTTATGCTTGTGAAAATTCATCACAGAAATTTACATGTTAGTATTAGTAACGGGATACCTCCCATGATTTTTTAAACATAATAATATGCCAAATAAATACAAGCCTTTTTTTGAACCATTCACCTTTTGTTATTGATATTACACACACAACAAAATAAGAATCTTCCTAAAAAGGCAGTGCTTATATATTTATATTTATGTATAAACTTTACTATGGAATATGTTTTTCGTCCCTGCAAATATAACTTTTGTTGTTTAGGGTCCTGTATTTTTGTGTGTGTGTTAATCATCCATGTAATTTATGTGTGGACGAAAAAATTAGTGCTATGGATCACTTCCACATCATCTTTAAAAATCTTTAATATTTTTATCCCAAAAGAGAGGCAAAGATACATTAATTGGAAGTAGGAATATTGAGTTTTGCCTAGCCCAAACTGCTTTAACAGTCAGCAATATTACAAGTGGACATGGAAATGCTAGACTATTTGTGAGACATTGTTTTTTAGCAGATGTTGACAGAGAGGGGCTAAGAATAAAACAATATAAATTGCATGGATGAATGAAAAATATATATTTTTATAGGGACCTAAAACAAAAACTATTATATTTGAATTGACAAAAAACATATTTTGGCCTTGTATTTATCACATAATGAAGGGTGGAAGCATTCCCAACAAAAGTGAAAAGTAAGTGAAGTGTACAAAAAGTGAAAAAGCTACTTGATCATTTGAAAACACTCCTAAATGCATATGATTTAACTTAATCTTATGTTAATTTGAATCTTATCAATTCTATTGGATATTATAGCAAGTTTGCATTTTGTTTTCATAAAGAGCATGTTATCCAAAACTCCCGGGGTTAGGCCTAGAATTTTTCCAATTTTCTTCCTTGTAAGGCACCGAGTACACCTGACATGAATTAACAGTTACTGTTTTGTTTTATCATATTTTCAAACAGTATTCCTATGACCTATTGCTGCAATACTTGCACAAGGCTCATGCCATGGTGATGCTAGGGATGATAAATGAGCATATAAATTTCCAAGGTATATCTTCTTTCATAATCTAGTTTTGTCAAGGGCACAGTTCCGTTGACACTCGCCATTCGGAAAATTGATGGTTCCTACCCCTTAACCCACCTCCTAAACCCCCCACCCTAGCCCCACCCTTACCCTCCCACCCTAGCCACACATTTGGAGGGGGGCTTAGGGTGGGGCTGGGGTGGGTTAGGGGGGATAAGAACCATCAGTTTTCCGATAAGAGCACCGGGGGTTCTCCAAAAATGCAGTGGCACCGCTAGTCACCGTTAGCGAGTATTCAACGGAGCCCCACTCTTTTGTTAATCATTTGTTACAATAATATAAATATATAATCATGTCACCTTGATATAGTTTTTAAATATTCTCCCTTTGTCCCAAAATAAGATTCTACACTATTCACATGGTCAAACTATATCTTCTTTCTTTACGTATTTTTATTTATCATTTGATAAAATATATAAGTCAAGTCATTGTTTTGTAGAACTCTTAATGTTGTTATATACTCCCTCCATCCCGAAAAAAACTCGTAGTTACTATTCACAGGTCAAACTAACTATACTTTCTTTATACATTTTCATCGATCATTTGATAAAATAAAATAACCATGTAATTACTTGTTTTGTAGGATTTTTGTGTAGTTTATAAATATATACTTTTATTTTTTATTCTACACCAATTTTTACTTATATTGATTTGAAAATAACATCAGTCAAATATCGTAAACCGAACAAGAGATTTATTTTGGGACGGAGGGAGTATAAATTTTATTTTTAAATTCTACACCAATTTTCGAGTATATTGAATTGAAAATTACTCTGGTCAAACATCATACACTACCATCAGACTTATTTTAGGATAGAGGTGTATATTTATTTTTTTAATTTTACACCAATTTTGAATAAATTAAATTGAAAATAACCTCCCTCAAACATCATAAAGTGTAAAATGAAGATAATAATGGGACATAGGGAGTAAACATAAAGTGACTCGTAGAACGCCAGAACACATCTAATTGTGAGCCCATTTTATTTTCTTTAATTTTGACTTGGATGATATTCATTTGTGAATGCTAATTTTCAATTTATGCCAAGTTGACAAAATTAATACTTTCTTCGTCCCATAAAAAGAGCCATATAAGTGGGTGTTTCTCTGCGCTTATAAACTGGTCAAAACTGCTTATAAGCAGTTTTTTAACATATAAGTCAGCTGATGACATATTTCTGTGTGCTTATTAGCCAGAAAAAACAAGTAGATCTTAGCTACTTATTTTTAAGTCAGTTTTTTCATTTCTCCGTTTGACTAGATTATTTACAAAACCGTCCCTCACCATTTATGTATATTTCTAAGTGACTAATCTATCATTTAAGTCATTTTACTTCCATGAAAGAAAATTTGACTTATAAGTAGCTTATAAGTTTAAAACCGCTTATCAGCAATAAGCCAATAAGCACCAGCACATAGAAACACCCCCGTATTGTCCCCAAAAAAGTCAAATTTGAGCAAAAAGCTATTTTTCATCACATTCCATGTTTTTATGATAATAAAGTTCTCAAAACAAATTAAAAGTGCTAATTTGGGCTAATCTCTAATGAATTTAAAATTATAGTTATAAATTTTAATATGTAGCTATATTTGGCTTTGGAGTATGACGGAATAAAGCAAAAATGACTGTTTAAACTCTTTGCACTTCTTTCAAAACCGAAGTAGGAGTGTAGTACTGCAATAGTTTGTGAATGCAACTTTTGACGCTTGTCATGGGTCATTTGAAACAATTGATCTATGTTTTTTTAAACATAAGGGTCACATCTGACCCTCTACCCCGCAGTGGGTAGGAGCCTTTTAAGCGTTGTAATGTTGTTATTGTATTGAATGTGTGTGTGTGCATGTTTGTTTGTTTTGAGTGAGGGTAAGGTATACATCCACCCTCCTCTAACCCCACTCATGGGCCTTATTTTGTTGTCTTTTATCCTAATTTTAAAAATTTATTTTAATGCCAAATATTTTCAAAACAAAAAGGATTAAATTAATTTATGCAATGAGTTATTCAATTGTTGGATGTAAAAAAATACCTTTTTAATGTATGTTTTAGCATCTTGCCATCCAAATAAATACACAGGACTCTGTATTTATTATGGTTTGCTGTGTATATTGTATTATTTTATTTTATATTGACTTAAAACTTTATCTTTTTCTAAAACTAGATGACATGTCAAGATTCTAAGTCATTAAACTACTCAGAGGAGTTTTCTATCTTTTAACCTATTAATTTATTTATTTATTTTATTCATTAATTCAAGGGTTACTCATTGCTTCACCTCGAAGCTTACTCCTTGCTTTGCCTCGAGGGCCAACTGTTTCGAGGTCCGTTTTCGCCTTTCAAATCCTTGGCCTCACACCATGTCACCATCTTTTCTAATCTTACCACACATCCATCATAACATTTACATCTCATACACACATTTTCTTTATCATTTTCCCCGTTGCCTAACATCCAAAGCCACATAATAAAGCCGGTCTTGTAGAGTTCTTGCTTTCTATACCAGGGAACTTCTCTTTGTCTAATGTGCCCAAACCATCACCATGGTTCTCCCTTTAAATTAAAAAACGGCTATACCGACCTTTTTGTGAACTTCTTCCTTGTGCACTCTATCTTTTCCGGTCTTACCATACATCCATAGTGACATACATATCTTTGCAGCACTTACGTTTTTTTGTTTTTCATTTTTCTTTTTCAAAACATTCTACAATCTTCATTGCCCAACATTGAGATCCAGATAGTAAGGTTGGTCTTACAAAAAATTTCTTCAATCTTAGGGGTGCATTGTGATCACGTAGTACTCATGTTTTCCTTTTCATTTAAGACAACCTGCATTAATGTCGCTTGTTTTTCAATATCCTCATTTCTTTTTTCTAGATCCCAAGTACTTGAAACAATCGTTCATTGATCATTCTTTCTTGTTCAATTTCACCCACTCTGCTTCCTAACTTCAGTCTTACTAAATTGCCAATCCAAATATTCCCTTTGATCTTGACTTGTCTTAAATCCATGTGTTCTTAAAAACAACACATTTGAGAAATACATTATAATCTATGGCATCAAACTTGTTATGGTTTCATCAACTTACAATATTAATTTGTAAACATATCTTGGGGGAGGATCGTTTGACATTGAATAACAGTGCCATAATATGACAACAAGGCACCGTAGGTGCCCCGTTTGCAAAATGGATGGTTCCTACCCCCTAAACCCCTCTGCCCTCACTCCTTACTCATTGCTTCATTTTTAGACATTGATAATCAATGTCAAAAAATCCTTGCCCAACTTATAAATAGGTAAGAGTAAATTCAATAAATGGTCCTTAATAATAGGGATTTTTCCATATATAGTCTTCAATTCTAAGATATTACCGTCGTGGTCCTCTATATTCGAGAGTCATTCCATAATTAGTTCCTTTGACCCAAATATTGTTTGGTCATGGAATTGTTTTCAAATATCAAGGACAACAAATGTAATATCTTAGAATTGAGAACTATATATGGAAAACCCCCTATTTTAATGGACCATTTATGGAATTTACTCAATAGATAAATAACTTATTATTGCTGTTAAGTGTTAATTATCAAGTCTTTACTTATGTTGTCTTATTGGATTGGTGTAAATCCATGTAATTATAACCATTCATTTTGTTGGCTAAAGAAAATGATTATATTTTCAAATCCAATCGCAGTTTCTCCTGGACAGCCTGGTTTGGTTTCAGATGATGCTGATGTTGTAACTCTAATTGGGAGCAGCCAGGCAACTGCTCGTTTGGTTAACCAGAAAGAAATTCACTGGGGAGTACGTCGTGATAAATATATTAAATTCCAATTTTTACATTCATATATATTTTTTGATCTTGATAAATTTAGTGAGTCTTAGCTCTTAAAGAAATACATTTTCCATGTAATCTTCAAATTTTCCACAAAACCCAAGACTCATATATCCAGCCTACATTTTCTATCTGGCATGTACTTCATGCCATGTGATGCCAGGAGTCCGACTTTTGAGTTTAAAGTTTATCTTTGTTAATGTTTACTGTTTAATTTCATTAAAGATAGAAAAGGGAGAACTCTAGAGTTTTAGAGCAACATGAGCACAACTTGAAACAAGATATTTTGGCTTGGTTCTTATTTGTGTTTCCTTAATTTTTTTAAGTCTAGTCATCTCCCCAAGGATTTGCGAGCGTTGAACTCATTATTAGTCTGCTGTTTTTGAGAGTCATTTATAATTTGGCTTGTTATAGTTGCTTGAAGATTCTTTAGAGGAGCGGCTAGAGAAGGCAGGAGGTATGCTTTTAGACTCAGAAAAGGTTGAGGGGGAGTCCAAAGATGGAGAAACTGATGATAACAAGGTTTTTGGGCCTCTTTTCTTGCTTAAATATTTTGCTTTCACTCACTCACACACACACACTCTCGCTCTCTCTCACTTTTAGTGTTGGAATTTTTGGAATTCCATGGTCCTCTCTTATGAGCAAGGTTTGAAAATGCAATTTTTACCCCCCCAAAACGGATCCAAATGATAAAACCAAATTAGTTGAACACTGTTTTTTTGGATTAATTAGCTAATTAGTTATAGGGATGCATCATGCATGAATGATTTTTTAACTATGGACCCCTAATTTTTCATAGAAGCTTACGTATTCAGAATAAGCTATACTTTTTTGCCCGGAGGTTGAACTTGTATTATTTTGTTGGCGTGGTTGAATTTAATGATAAAGGTTGCGTAGCTCCCCGTCTAGCAATTGAATCAGCAATAACATTATTGTTACGGGGAACAAGATAAACAGAAGCCAAAAGAAAACACCTCGAAAAAGCTGATAATATTAAGAAAATCTGAGTACAAATTTTTATCTCCATTTCTTCAATACTATTTGATCAAAATATGAATAAAACCAAAAATAACTAAAAGTAAAGCTCAAAAAACCAAACTAACCAATTGTATTTTGAAGTTTTAACATGAAAAACTGAACCAAATGTTCTAGTTTGATTAGTTTTTTTTTCATGGTTAAAACTGAACCCTTTTGTTATTCACCATTGCACCTCTACAATTTTATACACAAGTTTTTGGCATTGCTTACATCACATCATTTTTATGCTGGTCAATCTTGCTTCCACAAGACATTTTGTTTCCACTGTTGTGTGTTGTCAATGGTCACTATACCAACTTAAATCTAGATACATCTTTTATTTACGTGGCCATTTGAAAGAAGAGGTATGCATGAGAGGAGAAATGCTAGGATTTGGTGGAAGATCTGAATGCTGCAGGAGAAAAAGGAAATGATGGAAATTGGGAAGGCGGAAATAATGTAGAAGAGAATAAAATAGATAACATTAAAATTGTTAATAACCTATTATTTGACATCCATTATAAGGTGTAGTTTATATTTTGAGTAGTTTGGGTAAAAAATGAACTATTAAAATTCAAAGGTTTATGAACTTGCTTTCAAAGGATGAATGCGTGCACTAACATTTTGGCCTACTTTTTTAACAAGTATTTAAATATTACATGTATATTAAGTTTTGTGCTTTTTCTTGCCTGAAATTATATTCATTTTATATTACTACGTATAAAATTTCTGCATTTCATTCGATAAAATCAATTCAGGGAGGAAAGCAAGGATCGTCTATGAAGAAGTTGAAAAAAGACAAGGTTGCAGGCCCAACAGGAAAAGTTTCACACATAGAGGGTAACACAACATCTACTACACCACACGTTAAGCCCGAGTTACCTTTACCAGCAATGTAAGTGTTAGTGTAAATTTTCTCGATCCAACACCACTGGTTTGATAAAGAGTGTTAAAGTGCATCCCACATCGGAAGTTCAAGAGTAAAATAATCCGGTATATAAGCTCTTGAGTTAAACTAAATAATCGATTGGATTCAATCTTTTAATGCGGTTCAACCCAAGTGTCTTATTGCCCAATCCAGTTGTCCACACCCAATCCTAAATTTATCAAAGAGAAACCGCTCACTGAGCTGCGTGTGTTTGTGCCTTGGCCAAATAACTCGTAAAAATGCAAGGGGGCTTCACCTACGCTGCCTTTTCTTTATTAAATTATACTCAACTGAAATATTTCTTTTCCAGAGATATGGATGTAGAGCAGTCTATTCTTGAAGACTTAAGGAATCGTGTGCAGCTGAGTAGCTTGTCACTGCCCTCTGTGAACATGTATACCTTTCTTAATACTCAAAATGGGTATGTTTTTGTAGTTTGAAGTTGCGTATTGCTAGAGTATATTTGTATTCATTTCTTGATTACGTTTGATGTGTATGAATGCTAATAATTATTTTGATAGACTAAACTGTGCATCTATTTCTCATGACGGATCACTGGTAGTTGGTGGGTTTTCGGATTCTTCGATTAAGGTTTTTTCTGTTTCCCATATTTAAACTATCTCGTGAACTTATGCATGATTCGTGTTTGTTTGCTTAACTATGTGCTTGTATTGCAGTTGTGGGACATGGCAAAGCTAGGTCAAAAATCATCCAATTGTAAGTTGATTATGGTAACTCTACACTAGAAGATTTTTGTTGTGTTTGTTTGTATGAGTTACACATGAAAAATGAGGAAATACCATATAAATGAAGTTGTTGGCCTAATAATTGGTTTAAGGTATTAATATGATACCAATCTCAACTAATTAGTGAGGCAACTTCTCTAAATGAAGCCTCTAGAATAAGGAAGTTATATCTATCAAATTGGTGGGCAAGGTCTTAGGAGGACACCAAACTCATACAACACTTTTAGTATCTTTTTCTCTATTACTTATGTCTTCAATAATGATTTCCCAAGAAGCTTTCACCCCTGGACTTGTAGCATCTCCACCACATATAAGGAAAGGACGCCTAGCCTTCTTCGAGCTTGGGTGGCTGTTTGTTAGGCGTTGGCGATTAGTCAACGTCTAAAGCGATTAGGCGATTAAAAAAAGACTTTGACTTATGAATATAACCCTAGGCGGGTGCGAGAACAGCTCATTTGTGGTTAACATACATTATCTCTCTCTCTCCCCCCGTCTTTGTCTTGACTCGGCCTCTTCAATTGCCCCCCATCTTAGTATTTATTTACTTACTTTCTTATTTATTTTTTATTTTCTTATTTATTTTTTTGAATTTTATTTTTTTGAATTTTATTGTTTCAGTATTTCTTTTGGTGCTTATTTTTTTTAAATACAAGTTATAGGGAGTATATTGTTAGCAAATAATACAAGTTATATTAACTTGTATACTTATTAGAGTTATTACTAAGGGCCCGTTTCGTAGGACTTATTTTTTCTACTTATTACTTATTCTTATTAAAATCAGATCAGACCAGACCTAATCAGATCAAATCAGATTCAATAAGATCAGATCAGATTCAATCAGATCAGACTCAATTAGATCAGATCAGATCCAATCAGATCAGACCAGATCCAATCAGATTAGACCAGATCAAATCCAATAATATCAAATCAAGAAAAAATATAAAAAATAATATTTATATTTTTCAAGGATTAAATAATAATTACTGTTATTTGATTAAATCACATTACTTTATTTAAAACTACACACACCTAAATCTTAATTAATATTATTATTTTAATTATTATTGTTTTTATATTATTATTATTGTTATTGTTATGTTTCAACTACAAACCATTATTTTTAATAATTGCTTAGCTTGTAGGATAGAAATGATGCATGGAAGCAATGTTCAAACTTAAAAAGTTGTATTTTTCATACTTTAAAAAGAGTTATTTTAAAATACTTGTTTATAAAATAATTATAAAAAACTTAGTTTTCAAAACCATAAATATTTTATACTTAAAAAGACTTACTTTTAAACTTTAAGATGATATAATATACACAAGGGTGAGTTTATGACAAAATTCATAGAGGTGAAAGGGATACTTTTAAACCATAAATATTTTGCAATAATTTTAAGTAATTTAAATCAAATTTAAATTCATCTACACCAGATCTAATTAGATAAAATCAGATCTAATCAGATCAGATCAGATCCAATCAAATCAGATCAGATCCAATCAGATCAGATCAGACCCAATCAGATCAGATCAGAACGAAAAATTCAGATCAGGTTCAATCAGATCAGGCATACGGAACAGAGCCTAAGTTGCTGACTTGGGCAATAGTGCACGGTGTATTCCAACGCAATAAATACCGTACAACGCGATTATTTATTTACAAGTAACTGAATACTCATTTTCAAACTATTGAATACTCATTTTTCTAAAATGCAGGTATGCTTGAAAATAGTAAACCTTACTCGAAAATGAATATTTTGTTACTCAAAAATGAGTATTCAGTTACTCCAAAATGAGTGTTCATGCGGATGTACGGGAAACATCGTACATCTCGGATACATGATATAGATACTTGTATTCCAGTGGCTATATAAGTTCATATGTTGTGGCCGACTAGACTTTTATATTACATCGCAGAACTCAGAAGTTGATATATTTTCTTTTTTTCTTGGTTTTCAAGACGCCCGCCTTTTTTTGGTAAAGTGCCTACCTTAGTAGCGTAGTACTCAGTATTTATTTGTTATGCTCAATTAGTTGGATTTTATGTTTGGCTAGAAATTTGACGATACATTGGTTGTATCCCACTTATTTTGTGTTCATTTCTATGATGTGGACATTTGCCTAATTTGTTTTCCATTGTATTTTTATTTTGTTCAATTCTATTACTCTATATATCATACTCTAAAATAACTTTCTTTTATTTTCATTATCGTTTAGGTTATCTTTAATTTTAAAATCAAAATAATGGTGTTGCTAAATCCACCCCCTAAATGTCTAAATCCATCACTTTCACCTATTTTCGCTAAATCCACACACATTAATATAAATTTGATATTGGTGTGACGTGTGTTCGAGTGAGAGTTGATAAACAAGGTCGGTGGGTGTTGCACCCAAGTTCGATTCCGGACAACTACATTGGGAGGCAATTATGCTTAGCATATGACCTCTGTAAGTATTAGGTGCAGGCTTCATTCTTTGCCACCAATATGTGATTAAAGCTCAATTTACCTTCTCCGTCTCGCCGGTTCTGAGAGGCGCTCATGGATGGGTTCATCTTTTTTTGTATAATGGTGTGTATTTAGCAAATTAGGTGGAAAGTATGGATATAACCATTGGGTGAGGGGGGGTAGATTTAGCATCATCCTTAACATAATTTGTTTATTTGTATTTTTCAGACCTCTTATGGCCAAAGTAATGAAAGTTGTTATGATCCTTCAAAAGATTCAAAACTTAAGGCTAAATCCTCGGGTCAAAGATGGTATTATGGATTTTGACAAGAACTTAACAAAAGAGGTGAGATAGAATGCACTTTATTTGATATGCAGATTAGTAGTGGAGTGAAAAGATTGAAACAACCTCTCACTTAAGGATACATAAACGTTAATGTCAAATGAGTACTACTTCGACAATGAGAGAGAGAGAGATGCATGTTTACTTGAATTCAAAAAGAGAAATAAATTGGTTGTGTTGGGTGATGAAGATGAGGCAAATGAAAATAATCAAGTACTAAAGATGGATTCGGGTAACACATTTCAAGAACTACCACAAGTTGGAAGCGGTCAATGTTCCAATTTGCAAAGCCGCGTTTAGAGAAGCTAATCAAATCAATTGCAAAGATTAACCAAAAAAGTCATGTAGAAGTGGTTGCACAAGCTCAACACCACAAACAATTGAAGTTTGTATAAGGAACAAAGAAGAGGACAAAGTGTGCATGCACATAGCCAATTTTTTCTTTGCTTGTGGCATACCTTTCAATGCTACAAATTTACGAAGCTATGAAATAATGATTGAAGCAATTGGCCAATCTGGTAGCTCTCTTTTTCATTGATATCATGAACTGCAAGTATCTCTCCTATAAAAGGCAAAAATAGACAAAATTAAGAGAACACAAGATTGCATGGAATGAATTTGTGTGCATATTTATGTATGATGGGTTGAAGGATAAGATGATCTTCATTCGATCAATTTTCTTGCCCATAATCTAGAGGGGACACTTTTCTTGAACTCGGTTGATGCTTCGAGTGAATTTTAGGTCAAATTTGTAGACAAACAAATAGAAAACGCTTGTGAGGGATAAAATTGTTTACGTGGTGATTGATAATGTCTCTAATTAGAAGGCAATAGAGAAATGAGTTATGGAGAAATCTCAACTTTAAGGATACTACAGTCAATGCCAAGTATGTTACTATGCTCATCTACAGTAGGTAACACAATGACGGAGAAAAAACAGCGAGATCTTTTGAGGCACGGTGTAACTCGATTTGCCACAACATTTTTATGTTGCAATACAAGTACAAAGATGATTTGAGAACTTTGTGATGATTGGAATAAGTGTAAATTGGCAAAAATAGATGAAGGTAAAAAAGTGTAATATATCGTACTTTCTACCACGTTTCAGAGAGGCATGGAGGATTGTTTAAGGCCTCACCGCCATTACATATAGTGTTGGGATAATAGATGGGGATGAAAGGCCAACTATCACTTAGATTGTTGCAACAATGGATGTGGCAAAAGATAAGCTCCATGATGTTCTAAGAACAAGTCCTTATTGTTGAAAAAAGTCTTGAACATTTTAATGACCCGTTGAGAGGGGCAATAGTTCTATATGGTTGCGTTGTATCTATCACCATATAAAATTTTCGATATCAAAACAAAAGATTGTGATTATGTCAGAGACTTGTGTTCGATGTTCAATAATGAGCTGGAGAAATTGGTTGTCGTGATGAAGTATTGCAAGAGAAAATAAGTAATTAAGCTGATGATTACTATTCTATGTGGGGGACATTTGAGAAACCGGTGACAATCAAAGAACATAAAGCAAAAACTTTGTGTAGTACTAATCACCCAATATCAATATTTTCATATTGAAGGATTTTATAATTTTAAAAAAATCATATATAGTAGTTGATTGGTAGGCGGCCTTTGATAATGACGCACATGATCTCCAAAAGTTAGTAAAGCGTTCCATATGGTCATCCTTTGGTGGTGAATGCAATTGGAGCAACTTTGAGTTCGTAAGTTCAAAAGTTAAGTCTACTGGCTATCAATAGTACATTGACTATCAAAGGTGCCCCATTTGCACTCACAACTTGAAGATGAACAACAAAGGCTTCTGATACGCTTCACAAGCTTTTGAAGGTCTCGTGCGTCATTATCAAATGTTGCCTATGTACGTTAACCAAACTTTTGGTTACTATTTTCTCTTGTAGTAAATCAACAATCATTTTCTCAAGCACATCATTGAACGTGGAACGCAAGCCCCTGGCATAATTTGAATCCTTAGTTATGATGTCGAAAAACTTATTAGGTGATAGATACAATGTAATCTCATTAACTTTTTACCCCTCCAAACAGGTCATAACAATGTTCATGATTTTTTTTCTCAATAAGGCCAGTTTGTTTTTGAAAACATTACAGAGCTTATCTTTCACCACATTCATCGCTCCAACAACCTTAGTCATAGATAGTTGTTGTGAGGCTCTTAAACAATCGTCCACACCACTCCAAATCGTAGTAAAAAGGACAATACATTGCATTTCTTTGGCTCCAAATGTTCTTTGCCAATTTACACTTATTTCAAACATCGCAAAGTTATCAAAGGATCTTTGTACATGTTCATCAACTGTAATGTAAAATATATTGTGGCAAATCGAGTTACTGGATGCCACACAAGATTTTGTCTTCTCATTTTCTACCTCATCTCGTCAAGGAGTTTATTGTGCATGTATATAAATGTAGCAAAACACTTGGCTTAATTATAGTACCCTTAAGTTCTTTCAAGTGACATATGTTCTCCATTAGAAGGTCTTTGCGGTGGGCGTCATAAGGCATTCAAAATAAAGTTGGGGGTTCACTTGTTGTTTCCACGCTTCCTTAGAAATAGAGACATTATCAGTCAAATTTGTTTTCCGACTCATCAACTGAGTCTAAGAAAAACGTCACATATGGACTTCCGACGACAACTCTTATCCTTTCGCCCATGAGACATAAGTGTGCACCCATATTCCTTTCGCTCAATCTTGTGCTTTTCTTTTAATCTGTGTCTCTGCTTTTTCCTTTTGTGGGAGAAATACTTGCAATTCATGAAATGAAGAAGGGCTTTAGTCGAGGACCATATTGGTTCATTGCTTTAATCATTATTTCATAGCTCTGTGAATTTATAACATTGGAAAGTATGCCTCATTCTATAAAAAAAGCTATGTGCATGTAAAATTTTCCCTTCTCTTGTCTTTTTATATATACTTCAATTGTTTGTTGTGTCAACCCTTCATTGTGCCTCTCTAAAACCACTTATTTACGACTTTTTTGGATAATATTTGCAATTGATTTGTTTGGTTTCTCTAAAGGCGGCTTTGCAAATTGAAGCATTTATCGTTTTCTTTTTGCGTTTGTTCCCGAACAATGTTTACCGATTGACTACAATAATGTGCTATCTAAAGCCATCGTCACTAGATTGTTTTGGTTTCCCCATCTTTAGCACCCTACACAACCAGTTTATTTATCTTTTTCAAAATCAAGTAATCATGCATCTCTCTCATAACTGAAGTAGTCATTTGGCATTTCACATCTCCACATCCTCTAGCAAGATGTTTCAATCTCTTCACTCCACCACTAATGTACCTATCACATAAGGTGCATTGTATCTCATTTCTTCTGTTAAGATTCAAGCAAAATCCTTATTTCCATTCTGGATTTTTGGATTTAGCCTTATGTTTTAGATTGTTTGACGGATGATAATTACTTTCACCCATAAGAGGTGTGAAAATATGAATAAACAAATTGCTTTAATTTTAACAAAATTAAAGATCACCCAAGTGAGAAGAAAAGAAAATTGTTTCACAGTTCATGAGTGAATAACAACTAAGATGATATACAACTAATGCATTTGTCAAATCTCTGACCACAATAAAATCCAACTAATTGAGCGTAAAAGCTATGAGATAATAAAATAAATTCGAGTATATACTAAGTACTGAACTACTAGGGTCAACACTTTTCAAAAAAGGTCGATGAGTAGGAAGACTAAGAAACAAACATTGTGACTTACTTTCGAGTTCGGCAATGTATGATGGGAGTCCAGTTGGCGACGATGGATGATGGAAGTCTTGTCAGCAATAGACTTACGAAGTTGAGAAAAAGACTTAAGGATTTAGTTTTAAAGGTCAAAGTCTAATTTTGTTTAAACGCCTAAGTCATATTTGGCATCACCTCATTGCCAAACAGGCGCCATACTTTCTTGATCTCAAACATGGCAAGGCATCTATTGCGGCATCTCCAGAAAGTCACCACAAATTCACAGCGCCTAGGCAACACCGTAACAAGTATGATCCAATGTTCAAAACTGGTTCCAATGCCTAAAACAAGCTAGAAACACACAACAAAACTAACCAAACTTGGGGAGCATAAGCTTTGGAACTAGCATCAAATACGACCATATCAATCACTGGAATGCTCTCAAAACCCTAAAAAATATGCTCACAAAGCTTGATACAAGAACACAAACTAAAAGTCCAACAAGTAAACAAAGACAAAATATAGACTAAAGAGAGAGAGAAAAGTTTCCATTAGCGATCACAAACATAGAGGCCACACCCACATGACCAACCTAATTGTGAGATACCTAAATACCCACTCTACCCTACAACTCTAATCTTCGACCTTGAGAGACTCCTATTTACGGACATGTCCTCACCGAGGTGTAGAAAACTGAAATCCTGCATAATCGCCTCACTCCACCTCCTCTTAGGTCTACCTTTACACTTTATTAGATTCCATATGGCCAACCTCTGAGTGTTTCTCCTTTGCACGTACCTAAACTATCCCAATCTAGCTTCATGCATCTTATTATCCACAGAACTACTCCCACCTCTGAGATTACGCTGTTCTGAATCCTACCTCTGATAGTGTGTCCGTACATCCATTTTAGCATCCTCATTTCTGCCACCCTCATCCTTTTCATGTGGTTGTTCTTTATTGTCCAACACTTCTTATCATACAACCAACAACATACTAAGCATAGTCGGTCGAACAACTACTTTATAATGCTTTCCTTTGAGTTTAAATGACACTTGAGAATACAATGTATTTCGTATGAGTTCGTTGAATTGCCATCCTTTTGATCATAGTGAAAAATGCAGCATGTAGTTACTTTTTGGTGTGATTATGTCATGCTTTCTAAATTTCCGTTATATGTGAAAAGTTTTCGGTGCTTGAATATTTGTATCAGCTCTCTTGCAGGGTGATATTGGTTCCCCCCAAAATGAGCAGGTTCTTGGGGAAAATGGACAACGAAGATGTTATACACTGTTCCATGGTCATTGTGGACCTGTTTATTCTGCCACCTTCTGTCCATACGATGATTTTTTACTATCGTCATCGTCCGATTCTACTAGTATGTTGATCATAGTCTCTTTTGTCATTTTTCTTCTTAATATGAGACAATCATCTTTCTTTGTTTTAGTGTGTTTAGTCCATTGATTTTTTAATTCTTTTGTGTAGTTCGGTTGTGGAGCACAAAATTTAATGCAAATCTTGTTTGTTATAAGGGCCATAATTATCCTGTATGGGATGTTCAGGTGGGTGAAGAGTACTTCATAATATTTTACTTGATCTTGTCTGTATTTAACAAGTTGGCAACAACAAAATTTCAGTGGTGTTGAATTGATTCTATGAATGATAATGATAATTTTAATAATAATAATAATAATCTTATTTCTAATAGTATATTTGACAATAAAAAAGACAATCACATTATTCTCGTCTACCTTTTTTTTAAGTCACGCTTCTTCTCAGTCATATTTTGTGCAATCATGAAGAGCTCGACTATAGAATCATGAAAGAGCAGCACAATTGTTAAGAACCAAATCATCGCCAAATACTTCTAGGATGCTGGAGTGGGTTGTTCTGTTCACTGAATCATACATAATTATAACATATTATTTTTTAAGCAATTGTTAAGGACTTAAGGACATCATTTATATAGTGGAACACCAAAAGTAATTATTCTTGCATCCGTTAATGAATTCTTGGCCCAAACATTCACCAAGTCAAGGTTTATTGGTTCTGCTTTCAATGAATTTTGCACAAACTAAGTCAAGGTTTATTGGTTCTGCTTTCAATGAATTTTGCACAAAAACATTTACCGAGGCAAGGTTTGCTGCAATATTGGTTCTACCTTCACTGAGTTTAATCTTGTTTGGTTAGAGGACTTTGGAGGAAAAGGGTGAAAAGTAGGGTGGGGTGTGTTTAATTGGGGGAGTTAGGGGAAAGCAGGAGGATGGTGGATGAGCTATGGACTCTTCCAAATTCTTCATATCTCACCCTCCCAATTCCAGAGATTTTAGTGCCTTTTTTCTTAACTTATTTTCAACATTTTTATGAATATTATTTTGCATTGTTATTTGTATTTCCATGCATATTAGAAAGTATTTTTTATCTATAGCAAAAAATTATACCAAATAGTTCCTTTGTTCTTAATTGCATGCAACATTAGGCTTGACAAATTTGCCGATGCACGCATTAAACCATTAATATCTTTAGTTGTGTATTAGTAAAAATTATAGAAAGGAGTCATTTTTTAAATGTTGTAGCTTTGGGTAAATAATGGGTATTCAAAATGGCACATTAGCTTCGGAGTGCATTCAATGTAGTTTTGGGTAGTAAATGCATTAAGGGTTTAACGTAAGTAGCTAGCCTCTCTGTTTTTTTACAAGGGTAAGAGTGCTTACATCTTGACCTCCGAGACCCCAACATCGATGGGATTATATTGGGTTTGTTGTCGTTGTTGTTGTTGTTCCAAAATATTAATTCCTCATTAGTTTTCCATTTCCCTAAAGGAGTTGGGATTATACTAGGTTTGTGGTGCTCTCTTCTCTTTTCCTCCTCCTCCACCCCCCCCCCCCCAACCCCTGTTTTTTTTCTATTTGCACATAACACCATTCTTTCCCAATACAAATTCACCATTGCTCTATCCAATATGTCTCTGAAGCAATTTCTGTCCTGGGTCTTAATTCTTATGATGCAGTTTAGTCCGGTTGGGCATTACTTTGCCAGTGCCTCACATGATCGAACAGCAAGGATCTGGTCTATGGACAGGATACAGCCTCTAAGGATTATGGCCGGCCACTTATCTGATGTTGATGTGAGTTTACTCTTGGATTTTATATTCTTTCTGTTATCTTTTTGTGGAGTTAGTGAGATTTGGTCTTCAGTATCATATTCTATTACATTTATCTAGTGGGGTAGTGTTAGGCTTCAACTCAAGGTGGAAGGAGGGGGAATCAGGATAGAAGGGATTCAGGGAGACAGTAGGTATCTAGGGTTGGTTTTGGAAGAAGATTTAAGTAAAGGCGTGAAAGTATTTAGAAGAGGGATGTCCTGATAGAAGATGGCAGCAAAGGGAGGATAGGTTTTAGGTTATATTTTGTATAAGGAAGAGTGAAAATGAATTGTATTTAGAGGAGGGAATGGATGGGCTGAAAAAAAAGGCAGGAAATTCTTTTGTTGTTTTATTTTGGGGATAAACCAAGTTGGTGTTTAAGAGATATAGCACACTCTTATCTTAACTTGGGGTTAAGTCTAGAATTTAATTAAGATATAACACACTTAATTAAATATCTAGAACCTAAACTCACACTTAAGGTAACCACCCTTAAGATATAGAATTAGGAATTTAAACAAAGAATACAACAAGTGTATTATTTGATAGAAATGAGATTATCAAACTGTGTTTTTTACCAAGGCCTATGGCCAAATATATACATACATGCACAAGGAATACAACCACTCATAATCCTATTACAAATCAAGAAAATAATGTCCATTTGTCACATGTCCTTAGTGGAATGATTTAAGGGGAATAAGGATCTTGTTTGGCTTGGTTTAAGGGCTGTCTCATTCAACCATATATGGGAGGATCATCACAAGATGTTATGATTGATTAAAGTGATTTCTTTTGACTTATTTTGAGGAAGAGTTCGACCATATGATAAGGGACAGAGTGGAATATTAAGTGGCTGGTTTTGGATGATTATACATTATGGATTTTGTCATCTTGTGTGTGATTTCAAGAAAGATGATATGGAGATTATAAAAGTTGATTTCCTTGGNGGAAAGAAAGGGGAATGACTCTCTTTGTTTGATTGTGAGAGAAGTCAACAAAGAGACAAATAGCTACTGTTCACCTTTTGACTTAAAATGGACAGGGATTTTGGCCAGATTATGGGGTGGGTTTTAAGTGTTTATTTTAGTCAAAAACATGATAATTTTGTTGAAAAACAGGAGAAGGATTTTCGGCCAAAGAGGGGAGTACAGGATGGTCTCCTTTTGATGGTGGTTTGGGTTGTTTTGGGGTGATTGGTTCGGCCTTTAGTAATCCAAAAGGACTATTGCTAGGATTTGGGTTTTGATGATAAATTCATTCCAAAAAGGATCAAGACACCTAGACATTAATCCATTGATTTGTTTTAGGACTTGGGATTCCATATTAGTAACCCGGGGTATAACAGGTAGGAATCCATATACATGAGTCGACAGAACGAATTCCTTCATTTAAGGAACTTGGTTCTGAGGATAGGAAAAAGAATGTGGCATAGAAAAGAGGATATGCTAGGTTAATAACTTTAAAACAAAGTCCTCGAGCTAATTAGCTAAAGCATGTCTATTTTTCCATAGTTTGCCACTTCCCCTCAAATTGGAGTGTACATATCATATGCTCCGAATATATTTTGTCCTACAGCCTCGATTTTGTTTTGTCAAGATGTTCGGAAGTTGATTGTATGTGCTGACATAATAGGCATTATAAGTGCCATAACACGATATTTTGCTTCAACACCCAATGACCTTGTCTTCCAATAGATTAAGTTTTGACCAATTAAGATACCCAGCTCAGTGAGCCATCAGTGTCCCATAGAGGTGTTCATTCGGAAAAACCAAACCAAACCAAAATTTTGGTTATTTTATTTTTGTACCAGACCATATAAAATCAGTTCGGTTTGGTAAATATAAAAAATATCTCGGTTTGGTAATTGGTGAAACCGGAAAACCCAAAATAACAAAAAAAAATAGTTGCAATACCATTAGTCCCCATTACATTCTCCAAATCTTAAAAAAACAACTAATATTGGGAAAAATATAATAAGAAAATAATTGGTTTGGTTTTTGTTGACTTGCATTTTAGGTCATAAGTTGTCTACTCATTTTAGCTCTATATCTGTATGCGACTGTTAGTTGCATGAAGTTCCACTGTGGCCCAAGCAAATTACTTTAAGAGAAACACACGAGCACTTAAATTTGTTGTCTCTCTCTCTCCCCCCTACACACACTAATATGTGCACACCCATATTGCACTAAAAGACAATATGTTTCTTGCATCTTATCTTTAGAAGATGACTTTGTCTTTCATATATAAAATAAAAAAAGATGAGTATTGCATCATTGTATGTATTATAATGTTATGCCGTGCTTTTTTTTCATTTTTAAAAGATACTATTATTGTATTTGAACAAATGACTTTTGACTTTACAGTGTGTGCAATGGCATGCCAACTGTAACTACATCGCAACAGGATCGAGTGACAAAACTGTTCGCTTGTGGGACGTCCAGAGTGGCGAGTGCGTCAGAATTTTCATTGGTCACAGAGGTATGATATTGTCACTGGCAATGTCACCTGATGGCCGTTATATGGCATCAGGCGATGAAGATGGGAAAATCATGGTATGGGATCTTGCAAGCGGGCGCAGTATAACACCTTTGGTTGGTCACACCTCTTGCGTATGGACACTTGCTTTCAGGTTGAAACCAAGTTCTTTATCTAATTGGATTGGTACCGTCTTTGTACTTTGATAGTAGTAATCTATATTTCTAAATGTGAACTTTCAGTTGTGAAGGCTCTATTCTTGCATCTGGTTCTGCGGATTGCACTGTGAAATTGTGGGATGTAACCACAAGCACCAAGATTCAAAAATCTGATGAGAAGTGAGTTCGTGTACACATTTTGCTCATTCCATGTTTATTTTTTCAACCTTCTGTTCCCTTCTAAAACAGAATAATCTTCTCCTTGTTAGCAAATCTGGGAGTGCCATTAGACTCCGATGGTTGAAGACATTGGCTACCAAATCCACACCAGTATATGCTCTGCGTGTAAGATTCCCTGTCAATAATCCCCCCACACTTTTTCTTCAAAAAAAAAAGAATACCCCCCACACCCACCCCACCCCTTTGGGGCTTTTTCACAGTAATCGTCTTTATCCGCACGTTTCTAAAATTAATTTTCATATTGTTGTGGTAACTGTTATTGGAGCAGTTCTCTCGAAGAAATCTTCTCTTTGCCGCTGGTGCATTTTCTCCAATAGTGCATAAAACTACATGTTAACATTGAACATTCTGAAGTGGCAGTATGGTTTCTGTTATCTTTGGTATGTCATCAGTCTATAGTTGCCTAGTTGCCTTAAGCATTTTGTTTCTCATTTTATGCTAACTGTGGTACTTCTGGTCCTCGTAAGAAAGAAAATGCTGTTTAAATCCCAGAAATGACACCAAGGTTCACACCGGTAATCACACACAGATAGGCCCAAGACCAAAAAAGTTAGAACTGTAGACACCATCTTTGACACTAGTGTGTCTCACACGCACAAACAATAGCTATCAATGCAGGAACTGTGTCTCTGTGTCTGTGAGACACAATGATCTCAAACAAGGAGTTCCCCTAGCATGGCCGGTCATAAGACACTGGTGATGTCAACCTTGGTGTCATGCGTGATGTGTAGTGTGATTGTAGCATGACTTTTCTAAGAATACTTTTTTTTCTTTCTTTATTCTTTTTCTTGTTTTCAGCTTACAAGAAATGTAATTCATGGAACAATCCTGAAAACCAAGGGGAACATTGATTGCTGATTGATGATGGATGATTAAGGAAGCCAGATTGCGTTCTTACATATATATAGGCACACAACTTTAACTTATATTGAATAAAATGTACTATATTCATGAATGTGACATGATGGACAAAACGCCCTTGATGGATATGTGACCGACTTTGTTGTTAATTACTCCCTCTGTCCCACAATGAATAACACTTTGTTACTAGTCTGGCATTTCAATAATAACTTTTATTTACTTGTGTTCATTCATTGAACATTTTTAAAGTAAAATACTCCACCTATTATTTATACAACTTTTAACCTGATTTTTAATAAATAAATTATATTTTTAATTTTTATATCAATTTGAAAAAAATTAACACAAGATTTTGTGTCAAAATAAGAAGACACATCTTTGATATACTCCGTAACTAGGTCGTTGTTGAGATTTTACACATAATTCGAGGATTGATTCGGATGGATGGAGTAAGTATTACGCTTAATAGTTCTCCCATAGGTCGAGTAACTTTGTACCTCTCCCATAGGTCGAGTAACTTCGTACCTAGAGAATTCGTTGAACTATGTTCAACTCATTCGACCAACGGGAGAGGACAAACCCAATGAATGATCGAACAGCTAAGTGGTGCTCTTTCTTAGTTACAACATGTGTTTGGTGAGAATGCCCCGACCGGCAGCTGCTAGGTTTCCCGATCTTCCCCTGGTCTTTGGCCCGAGCTGTATGAGGCGAAAACTCGTTCCACGTACGGTTCGGAGGTTGAGCCCCACCCCAGCAGTAAGGGTGCGGCTTAGGTCAACTAACACAAAAAAGATACAGTTCACTCAACGATTGCATTTGGGTTCCGAACTCCATATAGGGAAGGAGCGTTGTTGTTTGCAAGGTCTCGATCATTTACATGGACCCACTTTTCATTCCATTTGAACTACTTGAGACCCGCAATGAGACGGTCGGATAGTATCCAATCTGAAAGTGAAGTAACCTGCCCTGCTTGATCACGGTTGGACCGGCATCTTAATCTATTGAATGAGATCAAGACAGTCATGACCCCATGTTATTCCGATGGATTATAGTCCACCAACACTATTCTCATTGTTGAGAACCATTTTCACCAAAGTCTAACCTTATTCGTTTTATTTCATACAAACGACCTTCGATTCTTGTGAAATTTTAGAACTATGATCTATAGTACTACGTATAAATTAGTAACTCCAATCCTACAATGAGTTCGACAAAAAAATGACTCGATGGAATCCCACACAAAGTAGGGTCTATGATGGGAAAAATACAACTTTTCTTCATTAAACAAGGGAAACAAAGTGTTAATATTTGGAACAAAATTTCAACATACAAATTTACACCAGCAGCTCTCGTATTCCCAGAACGTTCGACAGTGTGATTGTGATGATGACGATCCTCAAGAACAATGAATTTAAAGCATTTGATGAACAATCCGAATGCCAATCAGTGTTTTTGAAAATCAAATCATATGAGGAAAAACACATTATCAGCTGTACAAAAATGATTAACCTGAGTGTGTGTTTTTATATCCTGACTGACCTATGGCATCTTGATGCTCTTTTAGATGACAGATTCAGTTATGGCATGGCATTTCCAATTGGCACACTACTAGTGCCTTCTCTGAGTCCTTGAAGGGAAGCATGAAGAGTTCTCTGAATGCCATCTGCAACAACCCTGAGTCTGCCTTGGCTCACATCACCAGCAGAACTACTTGCATCCACAATCCGTGTCACTCTCTGTTTGCACCTCTCCCAATCCTCAGCTCGCACCCAGCATGCCCTCCCACCATGGCTCCCTTCCATTTGGAGGAACGACACAGCGGGGTTCTCCCCAAATGCGTACCTCAACCTGACAGACACACAGTAAGGCAACCAAGCAGCGCCACCCGCAGCGTTTATGTGGGGTATGTGGGTGGGGTCAAGGACGACCGTGAGAGCAAAGTCGACGGAATTGCGGGGCCTGTCGTAGTGGATGTTGCTTTTGGAGCAATGGGTGCTCTCGTCTGCGCCACACCCGGTGTGGTTCTCAAGACACAGTTCGATGCGCGATTTCTGTGCGGGGGCGGGGATGACATCAGCAGCACCTTGGGTTTGGGCCAGCCCTTTCTTCCAGGCAATGAGTTTCAAGAATTCTCTTAGAATTGAGATTGGCAGAGTTAAGAGTGTGATGAATGAAGCGACGCGGGAAGCATCGTAGGGCTCTGATGCAACGCGGCGGCAGAAGTAGTCGCAGATTTCTCCGATTTCAGATTGGGAGAGTTCCTCTGAGGCAGCTGAAGGATTTTGCTGCTGCTGCTGTTGTTGGGATTGATGGAACTTTTTTACACTGAGGACCTGGAGAAGAAGTTGAACTCTGTGTACACTGACCGCAAACACATAGCCGCTGCACGAGAGAAAAAAATAATGAATTTAGACAGATTTGTTTATTCCACAAAGCGGAGTTACAAAAACTATTCGAACCAAAAGCGAAATGTTTTAGCAAATTAGGGACAGAACCAACTCCGCATCAAACCTCATTACCCAAATTAAAAATCTTGGTATGATAGCGACTTGACAGAGAGATGCAACACTAAATCTTAATTTTATCTGCTGAACCAATAAATTGATAGTTAAGTCCACTAATGAATCCCGATCACGTAAATTTCACCTGCCTAAAATACAGTGTAAAAAACCAAACGAGAAGAACAAATTGGGACAAGAGGAGTATGTCTAATATACAGGTCCAAGCATATGTCTACACTTATTGATACATATCACCAATGATGACAATAAATTTTCATCGTGCTTCCATAGGTACCTTATTGTATGTCTTCTCCCAATATATAAAACCATGCACATGTTTAATTCATAATATGATCACAACATAATACTCCCAGGGTTGTCTAATACGCAGTAATAAGTTTTCTAAAATTCTATGATATATCAATGTATTTTCTTAATCTATGATCCATTACCACCCTCTCCTAAACTTCATGGTACTCATGGGTTGTATTCCTGTTATAGTTCGCATAGTCTGGCACAACTTCGTTTCACTCACAGATGGTAAGTCCAAAACCTACCACCCGCTTTACCAACACACACACACACACATATATAAATGAAGAATCTTACCCAACAAAAAACCGCAAGGCGGGCTGTTCTTCATCTAAATTCAATAGTGAGCCCTCAGTCTCCTTAAGAATTGACCTCAATATCTCTTTTAGAAGATCTGGTAACTGTGCGAATAGCCACAATACTCCAAGATATTTGAGAATGCCTCTAAGTACTTTTTTGAGTGCAACAAGAGGAACCCATCCACCACCATATCCTCCATCATCTCCAAGACCGATAATTGCAGTGTTGAGTTCCCCCCTCACATGTGCAGGTACACCTGTACCAGATGGTCTGCGTAATGGCATCCCTGAATTCATTCCATATAAACTTGATGACGGTGGAATACCATTGCCAACACGATTCAGAGCAGAAACAGTAGTTCCTGACCGAACCACTACGGTAGAATTGGAGAGGTTCGGCCTGTTCGCATTGGCAGCTGTAAGTTGGGTTCCTGAATTCAAATTTGAACTATTTGAATTCACTAACCCAACTGCTTGTTGACCACCGGAGAAGTTAGAATCTATACCATTTAACTCCTGAGCAACATGTTCCATGATGAAGGGTCGAAATTGGGGACAAGGCAGTGACCCTCCCACTGTAGAACCACCTTTAGGTGGAGTTGCTGGTTGCAGCCAAACCTGGTCTCCAGCAAAACACCTCATATCGACAGCAAAACGTTTCCTGTATATGATACGTATCCAGTAGGGACCACGAAGTACTACAGAGACATCAATAGGTAACAGTGAACTAGGAACAATGCCAGGCCCACCTCTCCCAGTAGCAGCTGCTGCAGCTGCAGCCAACATTGCAGCAGTATGGTGGTTAACACCTGCATTCGAGACATTTGGTAAATGCCCCTGAGGTAGCAGATTACCAGTCTGTTTTGAAATAGAAGTAGCCGGTGTTGCAATGCCATTAACTCCCGACACAGGAGCAGCTCGTGCAGGCCGTGTTGCAGATGCAAGAGCATGCAAAGGTCCAGCCGTGAGGCGAATACAATCCAAGAGTGGTGCAACCTCAGCTCCATCAATAAAATCTTCAAGAAACTGCATGTCAAAGAATCACAGAATGAAATGGACTCATCAAGGAAATGGATGTCAATAATGTCATGTCATGAAGTATTGATAGCACTAACCAAAATGTCCAAAAGGTCAATGTTGCCTTGCTAAAATGGATACTTAATACTAAGATATACATGTATCATTACTGCACTATACCCACAAAAATTAAATATTTCTAGTGTTCTATCATAGCTGTTGTTCATAAACCATATACTAACACAGAAAAGACCAAGTAAATGCAAAAAAAAACATAGTCAAGGTACACTCACAGCCTTGAATAAAATCAATAATGAGCAGTAAAGTATAGTCTTATACACTTTCATATCCACTCAAGGAAAACAAACCTTCGTATGTGGCCACAATTGGTCAGGTGAAACATGCATTGTGCAGCCTTCTTTACCCGATTCCCATTCAACAACAAACCGAGCAACGACACCCTGACCATAACTAAACCATAGACTCATAAGTCCAACAGCTTCAATTATAAATGATCTTCTCAATTGGTCTGACGTCTTATTGGTCGACTCAGTACCACTTTTTAGTCCAATTTGTAGTTTACTCTCCAAATTTGGACTGCTTGCTTCCGAATTTTCATCTGTTCTTGCACCAAGTAACTTTCTCATTCCAAGTGCAAATGCACGAGCATTAGAGAGCCTTTGTATATCAGCCACTAGTTTTTGGATACTATCAGCCTCAACAGAATGATAACTCAAAGTAACACCCTCTGAATCATAATGGATATGAGCATCTGCATCAGACGTATTGGCAATCCGAACTCCAGGCCCCCATAGAGTACTAGTCCCACCCTTTTGAAGCTCCCACAAGTCCTGAAAGTGTTGGTCAATGATTCTGACATCCCAATACATACTTCCAGGTCTCCCAAGCCGCAAGCATATGTGCTGCCATGCATCATCTCTAGCGAAAGGAAGTCGAAACCACAGCTTTGAAGATGCACATCTGAGTCCCACCTCTTCAACAAATGGGATGCCAATTGCATCCATCTGACTAGTAAGTTGGGCGTGCTTGATACAAAGAGAGCAATGCCTAATAACATGAAGAAGAGCAGAAACATATACAGTAGAAGGTGCATTGCCTTTATGAGTCTCAGTTAATAGGTCAGCATAACTACAATCATCCGTTTTAGCAGGCATCTCAAAAGAAATTTGAATTTGTGACTGAAAGTGATGAGTGCTAGCTGATTTCATGATCTTCCTTCTCTTGTAAGATCCCTCATTGCATTCTATCCCTTGAAGAGATCGAAGTGAATCTAATAAATCTGAAACTGTACGCTTTCTGGGCATTTTATTTTGTCTATAAGCTGCACCAAGACTTGAATTTGTACATGTAGCAGAATCAGTTTCTTGGGCTGAAAGCAGCAAGAAAGAAACTTAAGAGGATGATCACAAAGCACAAAAAACAAATAAGAATATATATACACAGAGATTTATTTTTTCCAGAGGAAGTATCTTACATAGGGGACTCGTAATCAATGAGTTAGATACGGAAGCCCTAAGGTTTCCAGATACCATCTCCAAAGGAGAGCTCTTTGGGGCACTTGACGTTCCAGCTAATGAAGGAATTGGATGGGTTGGTGGAGATAAAAGTTGACTTCTTCCTGAAAATGAGGGTAGTGAACTAATGGATCCCGGTGGTACCACCCCCTCGTACAAAGAACCATTATAAGTATTAATAGCATTGTTCTGAAACGTCTGCACTCCTCCCCATTTTGGAGATGATGAGCAAACTTTTGAACTATGAAAATTTGTTGAGTCGTGAACAAAATTAGAAGCAGGACTGGCAAATCTTGATGAGGGGGCAGCACTAATCAGAGAAGGAAGAGAGGACCCTTTTTCCAGTTCAAACACTTCATCAACAATGGATGAAAAAGTAGGAGCAGCAGAACTAACCATAGAACCTTCAAAGCTAGACTTAGAAAGATCACTGCTTTCAACTTGTTGGGTAGTGTTATCACACTGCAAAGATGACAACAATTTCCTGTAGTTAAGAAGACTCAAATTTAGTACATCCTCGTAAATCTGCATCTGACCAACATCAACACTTTTGGAACGGACAACATTGGTTGAATCACCAAATGATTGAGCTTTTCCAGAAGAATCTGACTGAATTTCCAGTAGCTTGAAAACTGGTTTGAAATCCTTGTCAAGTTGCATCAACAAATAATAAGAACTTCCACATTCTGGAAATCTCATAAGCAAGAGACTTGAACCACTGTTCATAATCTTTGGCAGCTTCAGTGATGCTAAACCATGTTCAAAAACCTGCAGGAGTACATGAAACTATTAAGTCAGTCATCTTTCAAAAAGAGAAAGACAAGTGTAACTAATACAATGATGAAAGTTAAAAACTCAGTTAAATCATCTAAAATATCACGTTACAACAAGGCCCATGTTAGACAGCCAGTGACAGTCATGTGCCATCTAAACTTAAAAGATACTAGTACATGCCTAATCAAAGATAGGTCAAGACTACTCAAGTGATTAAAGTAGAGTAAAATTACAAAATTCAAGAGAGAAGATGTTAAAAGATAAAGCACACACATAATTTAGAATAAAGTACTAACTACATTTGGAGAGCATAGTGGTGGAACATGTTCTCTGTTGGACAATTTATTTTAATATCAATTTTCTATCGGCCTTGCAGTCCATCTTAAGGGAGTAAGGGACATGTATGCACTAGCCTCCTTGGTCATCTTACCCATACATAGTTTGAGACAAATTTTATGTTTTGAAAAAAAATCATTAGCTGGATCAATTCATAAAATGATTGACAAACTTTTTGATGATCTGTCTAAATTTGTAATGTTTTTAAGGGGGACCATATTCATTCCACAGTTCACTATTGTAATTCAAGTCACTTTTCTCATATTGTGCTGTAATGTGCATACTTCATAAATATTGATGGCAGTATACCAACAACAATAATGATATTATGGCCCCCACATTCCAAAAACTACTCAACTCACCCTTTTTTATTGCTTATAGAATTCACATCAAGTTATTATTGTTGTTCTTTTTATTGTTATTAATGAGATATCCAGTACATAATAGTTATAGTAATAGTAGTAAATGAGATTATTATGATTTAAATAACAACAATAATAATAATCACAAGTAATGACTTGTTAGGGAAATGAGAAACTCTCAATACTTTGTTGGCGTAGGATTTTGAAAGAAATATGTTTGGTTTGGTGATTGAGTTGACTTAACTTGTTTAGAAGACGGGTTTATTATAAGTTAATTAATGTTAGAAAATAAAATTAACAAATTGAAAAGGTTAAGTTTTATACTCCCTTTGTCCCAACATAAACTTCACACTTTCTCTTTCTGTTTGTCCCAAAATAAACTTCACACTTTTCTTAATTCTTTTTAAGAAAAGGAATAAGTTATTAGACAGGACCAGATCAAGGCAAAGTAGAATATTTTATTCTCGTGAACTTGTACAGGATTATTTGTGTTCTCTAAATATAAATAGAGAACAGACCAACATGACTTTTACTAACCAACACAACTATTACAAACCAACACACCTATTAACAATATATAGAAACTACCAATAACTGTCTTTTAGAAACTACCCACTGTTTTTTTAATTAATTAAATATGTAAAACACACTAAACGACACCCACTGACTCTATACTAATTGACCCGAACATTGACTCGTTACCCATTTGGTTATATGTGAACAAACCCGATTAAATCTAACAATCACGCCCTTAATTGTTGTTTGTTCACACTCTTCACAGCAACGTTGGTTCATCATCTTCAATCAAATTTGCAATCTGTTCCTTTTGATCCCATTTTGGACATGCATTCAAAAAATGCCCTAACTCATTGCACTTGAAGCACCTAACGTGACTCTCATCCCGCTTAAACCGATCATCATCCTGACCTTTCCCGAACCCCCGACCTCTACCTCGGCCACGTCCAAAGTCTTCTCGGTTTAAGCTCCAACAACCACAATGCTCACATTTGTGCTCCTGAACCTTCTCTTTTCCATCACCTTTAGTGAAGAGTAGTTTACCATGTGTATCTCCTTCCTCAGTTGGCTTTTTAATGCGTTCCTCGAATGCTTTCAATCTTCCAACCGCTTCTTGAAATGGCATTGCGTTAATGTCGGCAAACTGTTCAATTGCAACAACGATCTGTATGAACTTTTCAGGTACAGAACCCAAAAGCTTTCGAATCAATCTTTTGTCTTCAAATGCAGACCCAAGGTTATTTGCTTGTGTTGCAAGTTGACTAATTTTACCAGCAAAATCATCAAGTGACTCATTGTTCTTCATCTTTAGAGTCTCAAAATCTGATTCAAGTATATGTAATCGTGCTGTTTTAACCCTGTCCAAACCAACAAAGCGAGTCTTCAAAGCATCCCAAATTTCTTTTGCTTCAGTAAACTGAGCAACTTGTAACACGATCTCTTCTGGCAACGCTTGAAACAGATATGTTATTGTCATATTGTTCTTCTTTGGATCGATTTCTGTTCCTGGTTCGATCACCTCCCAAATCCCATTAACATTAAAAATTGCTTTGATCTTCACAACCCAAATAGTGTAGTTTGTAGCAGTTAGAATTGGAACCGTAAAAGATAGTGGACTATTCTCCCTTGTAGTCACAATCTGTCTATTGTCTTCCATTGCACGACTTTAATTCCTTTGACAATTTTCCCAAAATTCTTAGACTTTGATTCCTTCCTGGTCGTAAGCCACCTGCAATCGACCCCCAACCAGAAAACAAGCCCCTGCTTTTTCGTCTTCCAAGTCACTAAACGAAAGCTACCCTGTTGATTCGTTTTTCCCGCGTTGTTTGGTTGGAATCCTTTTTCCAAATGAAAAAAACTGGCAACCTGCAATTTTGTCCTAGGCGAGGAAGAATCTTGTCGAAGAAACTTGATCTGCTGTCAAGGAAGTCTCTAACGCTCTGGCAGCCCTTCTGCTCCTGATCGTACAACTCCTGATCACAAGACAAACCCCTCCCTTTGATTGTTGGGTCCTTATTGGATTTTCGCTCCGATACCAATTGTTAGACAGGACCAGATCAAGGCAAAGTAGAATATTTTATTCTCGTGAACTTGTACAGGATTATTACCAACATGACTTTTTCTAACCAACACAACTATTACAAACCAACACACCTATTAACAATATATAGAAACTACCCATAACTGTCTTTTAGAAACTACCCACTGTTTTTTTTAATTAATTAAATATGTAAAACACACTAAATGACACCACAGTAACTGGCTCTATACTAATTGACCCAAACATTGACTCATTACCCATTCGGTTATATGTGAACAAACCCGATTAAATCTAACATAAGTGGTACTGTGGCTCATATCATTGCTCTTTCTACTAAACAATTTTTAACCATGCACTTTTCACGTTTTAACATTTTTCTTAAATTCCGCAGAGTCAAAACCACGAAGTTTATTTTGGGACGAAAGAAGTATTAAATAGACTCGGGCAAATGTTAGAACTTAAAAAAATATCAATGAAAATAAGCGAACAAAAAAGAATTAGTTTGACCTTTAAGTAGTAGCAGATCAGGGAAATTGCCCATTTAGTCAGAGCCCGCACAGGAGAATAATGAAAAATTGTACATATATACCTCAAGGCCTAAAAACCTTCCAACAAAGGCAAACAAGTGCAATAAGCTTTTGCTTCTCAAGCTTATAAAAGCTTCTGCTGCAGACATATTCCCCTGGTTTAAGGCATCTTCATGCTCGATAAGTACTGATGATGCTATTATATTCTCTGATGACTGAAGAATGAAGCGTCCTATCCTAAACGAGAGAAAAATAACACATGTTAGGACACCGAAACATGATGTAAGCAATTACGTTTCCAGTGCACCTTAATACTAACTTTCATAGCATGCCACATTAAATTGTGGGTGCAAATTCTTAGTAAAATCAAAGAGGCTTTTGCTTCCAAGTCATTGTATGCATCACTTCCTTAATCTCAAAAATACTTTGTAGCTTACATCAATCTGATGTATTGTCACAAATACATAATTGCCTGCTACTGACTCCATTAAGAGCCCATGGCATCTCACATTTAGATGTTTATTGGGTGATAACCTATAACACGAGCAAGTGTTTCTAAACAAGAGCTATTCTAGTAAGTTTTGTTCTACCATGTCTTTCTAATCTCCTACTAACAAATGCACAACCATAAACCTTTATTGAACATTTTGAAACCATTTACTATGTTCTCTACCAATTTATCTAATAACTTGTATCACCTGCATATATTCAACATGATCCTTTCAGAATTTTGCACACATTCATTTAGCAATCTACTCATTCTCATATCAGATATGGCTCATTTATAACCATTCTGCTTTGCAGTCTTACACTGATCCAGTGCCAAGTGACAGATTTTTTTCAACCTTCAAGAAGTCTATGGGGTCTCCACTCACCAACCAATCACATTTTATGATTTGTATGTTATGAATTTTGAGGTGATGACAACCAGAACGGTCTGGAGTCTAGAAATGAGGTGGATAAGAAAGGTACAAAGGAGCCCTTGTGTCACTGTGAGAGGTTAGTAGTGGGGAATTTGAGAAGTAGGAGTAGACTGACAAAAAATTGTAATGATATGATTAAGCATACCATGTTTATTTGCAGCTCACTAAGGACATAACACTAGTTAGGGCAGTTAGGACTTTGGAGGTCGAGAATAATTTATAGGGTAATCTGAAAAGGGTCTCCAATTGTATAAGGGAGTTATGTTTAGGGGGCCTTTCTAGGGCTTGTTTATTTGTGGCCTGTTCTTAATTCTTCCTACCTTTTTCTGTAGTTCTTACTGTTCACTTTTCAATATTTCCTGTTATTATATTTCCTTGGGACAATGGTCCCTTGGATTTTGGAACAACCACTATACCTTTTAAGGTAGGTAAGGTGTGTGTACAGCCCTCTCCAAACCCCACATGTGGGATCTTACTTAGCTGTAGTTGTAAATCATGCTTCATCAAAACTGATATATATCCGGGAGCATGCCCAAAGACTCTCCGTAGCCCGCCAAGGGAAAGACAGATCAGGGGAATAAAGCCCAAGTGTGGTGACATTAATTGGGTTGAAACTTCTCCATTTTCCTGTCTTAGAACCCAACCCAACACCATGGTTGTCCTACACCCACCCTAGGCTGAGCCCACACTCTCCATACCTTCCCTAAACATCCAAAATATTTCCTTTTCAAAATAAAGTTTTCCTACTCCTATTTTAGGCCCTGGCCGAAAATACGAGTGTGTAAACCACAACCTTTGTTTGTTGTTATTTTCTTTCTTTTAAACCTTTTAATAAACAAATAAAACCTTCTATCCTTTTCTATAAATCCCAGGCCAAATATCCCTCATTATCCCAACACAACATCAACCAAGATATTCCCCATTCTTATCCCCTTTATGTTCCCTACTAGGGCTGAATAAACAACCACAAAAAGCCAAGGGACATTTGAGTTGTTGTTGATACACCACCTACTAAATCAGTCACCTCATATGACCAAGAATATAAGGCCA